CCCCGCCCCGACCCTCCCACCCCTCCCCCCTTTCGCCCCTCCTGCCAAGGCCTGCGCTGAGGCGCTCATCGCACAGGGCTACACCTCCCCCTCAAAGCTGGCCATCATGGGGGGCTCGAACGGTGCGGGGGCCCGCTCTGCCACACCCCTCTGTCTCGACAACTTGTGGCTGCATCTCTGTATACCGAGTGGGGATGGTTTTGTGCCCTGGCTCTGGGCAGTCAACCGAACTGCGGCCCGCGTTGCATCATCCAGCATCAAGACTGCCGATGGCGCGTGAATTACGGCCACCACTCCCCCGCCCCCTTTGGTGCTTGCAGGCGGCCTGCTGGTGGCGGCGTGTGTGAACCAGCGGCCCGACCTCTACTGCTGCGGCCTCGCACAGGCGCGCGCATTGCGCCATGAGCGTGCCGTGCCAATGCAGCACCACCCCTGGGAGGGGCCAAGTGCAGGCCCCTCCCAGGGCTGGGCCACGCCGCCTGCTGTTGTCACACCGCGCCCTCTGTCGACACTGTATTGCTGTGCAAGCGTTTTCTGGATGCTCTGCGCACAGCCTTGCTCCTCTACGCCGCATGCACCAAAGCGCGCAAGCACCAGCACCCAAAGGCAATCGTGCTTGAGCATGGCAGCGCCACAATCACACACGTGCGCACGTGCATCCACGCCAACTCTCTCATGCAGGTGGGTGTTATGGACATGCTGCGCTTCCACAAGTTCACAATCGGCCACGCCTGGACAACAGGTGTGTGGGGCCTAGGGGCACGGCGGCGGCGCCGCGCTGCCGCCCATGGCTGGGCAGCGCGCACACGACAAGCCGGGCTGGCCGCTGTCGCCCGGTCTGCATGAGCACGTGCTTTCCGCCGCGCTGCGTGGCATGGGGTGTCCCTTCTCTTACTCCAGCTCTCGTGCTTTCTTTCTCTTTTTCTCTGAATCTTGCTGTTTTCAAACTTTGTATCTTCTTTTCTCTTGCAGACTATGGCAACCCCGACAACGCGGAGGACTTCGCCTACATCCTGCCCTACTCGCCGCTGCACAACGTGCGTGCTCCCGGCGGCGGCGAGGGCCAGTACCCTGCGGTGCTGCTGGCTACCGGCGACCACGACGACAGGTGGGTGGAGCTGTGGCTGCCGGGTGTCTGTCCAGTGTGGTAGGCGTGGGGTTGGGCTTTCACTGACATGCTAGACTGACCCAGCATGTTGTCTGGTGGCTACCAATCTGCCCTGCACACAATGCATTTGTGCGGCCGCGCGTGCCCCCACCCCCCCACACACACATACACACACACACGCGCGCGCGCATACGTATGCACACTCATGCCTGCGCACACACTCGAACACGTTGCATACACACAAGCACATGTGCGCGGACACACACACACACACACACACACACACACAATCTCTCTCTCTCCTTTACACACACTCTCTCACAAGTGCACACGTACACATTTGTGACATATGTGGCACGCACCTGCACGTTTATCTTTGCACCCCCTGCAGGGTGGTGCCTCTCCACAGCCACAAGCTAATAGCCACTTTGCAGCACGAGCTGGCCGCGGGCAACCCCACCAGCAGCAAGCAGCGCAACCCCCTGCTCATCAGGGTCGAGGTGCGTGCACGCCCGACATGACATTGATGCAGCTAGGAGAAGTGTCTGCCCGATGTTCGCAACTGCCTGAGAGAGAGCCGCAGCAGTGCCAACTGGAGTCACTGGTGCTCACCATGCTGAGCGTGTGCAATGCGGGCTGCCTTCCTGTTGGCATCAGAACATGCAACTGCTCAATCGCAACACCTGCCTGCTGCCCCACTTCCGGCCCTCTCAGGTGCGCGCGGGCCACGGCGCCGGCAAGCCGACCGCCAAGGTGATCCAGGAGACGGCAGACCTCATGGCCTTTGCTGCCAAGGCGTTGGGCGCCGAGTGGAGGGGTGGGCCCACCAAGTCGTGAACCCCGGCAGCGGGCTGGTCTGATGCCCCCTGCTTGAATGCGGGTGGGTGCAAACGCATGAAAAGTCCATCTCGGCATAAGCTCTAGCTTGCTGGGGTGGCAGCGATTTTGTCCTGGCGCAAGCTGAGTTTTTTTTCTACCCACGGCTGAGTAACCTACATGCCGGCCGCAACCCACTGTTTTGATGGTTGGGGGGGGGCTGGCAGAGCTGAGCAGGACGTCACGTGGAAGCCAGGGGGTTAAGTACGCTCACATCAAACAAAAGTACTAGTCAACCCCAGTTTCAAGGTTTCAAAAAGCTTATCGGTCACGGCTCTGTGTTTGGAGTAAGTGCCTGTAGTTGAATGAGTTGTCAGCTCTTCATCAACACGCACATGCATCCCATTCACCTGGAACATGAGATTGGCGATCACCCTCACGCGAGGCCCTGATTCAAAGTAGGGGAAGCCCTGAGTCCTGAGGGCTGGAAGGAAGCGTGGGTGCACAAAGAAGGCAGTGGGCCGCCCCACCGTTCATACCAAGCTCCCACGCCCGCAGCCCGGGGCTGCCATAGGGGTTCACGACCCATTACAGATCAGCCTAGCGCGCTGTGTGTCTGGCTACAGGTGCAGACACCTGCTGCATCTCAACGAGGGGGGCCAGTCTGTTGAATCATGAATCATAGACTTGGCCAAAGCAGGAACTTCTGCAGTTCAGAGACAGTGTGTTAATTACAAATGTGGGTGGGCCACAGATGAATGTTGTCAGTCTGCATGTCAAAATATGTTCAAAGGCTCGTCGAGTCCGAGACGATGGGTCACTTGTGACACAAGTATGACACTGCATAAATCATCCCCAGTCCACACGATTCTCCACGACCATTTGAGCACAAGCTGAATCCACCTTAAGCACTGTTCACGTGCTCCGTCCCGCAACCATCCAATCACTCTTGGGAACAACAGCAGGCATACATCACACCGTAATGTTATGACGGCGATTGACTATCATGCATGACAATGAGAGAAAAGCAGGCCTAACCGTTTCAGCATGAAGTGGCAACTGTCAGCTGTAATCCAGCCAGCCAGCTGCTGCCTAGGCCCCTCTTTCTGAAGGGGAAAAGCAGGTCGTGCGATCCATGGAACCCTAAAGGCCATCAGGGTTCCAGGTACCTACCCTCCTCTTAATCTCAAGGTTGCGCAACAAAAGCAGGCATGCTGGTGACATGAATCGGGCAAAATGGTTGATCAAGCAACCAGGAAGCCAACTGATCTGAGCACACTGATAATCACACACGCGCTGCTATCTCTCTCTCTCTCTCTCTCGCACACACACACACACACACACACACACACATACACATGGCATTCTGGGCAAAGCCAATCTTTCACATATACGTCCGGACTGCGGGACAACTGCAAAAGCCCTCACATTTGCAAAAACTACACCCACGCCTGCGGACGCCTGCATCGCTTGAGCGGCCTCACTGCCCAGGCCTTCACCCCTTTGCATACGCCAGCGCTCATTAACTTCGTCATCATCGGTGATAATGCAGCGTCAGCCTGTTTGTTTGAACATATGTTATCACAGCAGGCGCCTGTCCACCTTGTCTTGGGCTGCTTTCCACGTCTTCTTGACTGCAAACAGGCTGACCCTGTCCAGCTTGGTGGTGCCATTGCTGATCTGCGCAGGGTCTATCCAGGGGCCCCTGAATGACCTGTTGCTGATTGCGTAGCCCAGGTTGTCTATAAATGTCATCCTGTGGGTTGCACGTGCGTGGTGGAGGTTGTGAAGGTGCGCAGTGACGATTAGGGTGCCGGTGGTGGTGGAAGGAAGTGCGTGTATGTGGTGCAATTTACATCGCAACGTTCGCATGTGAGCCCCTCTGAGACAGAAAAATTGAGAAGGTCAGCTGTTGATTGTGCTGGCGGCTGCAGAGGGATGGTGCAACTTTATTTCCAGTGAGGCTGGTATTGTGTTTGAGTAGATTATAAACACATGAGGGACCTGGACTTTGCAATGGTGAACCAGAACAATTGTTCAAGTGATGTGCATGGGGAGGGGCGGAATTATATGTTGCCAAAAATATAGTACCCCACTACCTTGCCCTGGCAAGAATCTGGAAGCCAGGCACTCACAGCTCAATCTTTGCGGCCTCGCCGATCATCCCGACCTGTTTTAGGGGAGCAGGGAGAGCGATGAAAGGAGGCAATCAGCTGCGTCGCAGGCAACAGCATGCAGGGGCGCCCTGCCGCATGTTGCACGCTGTTGGAGTCATAATGCATAGTTAGGATCCCCCCCGCTTGCTGAGCTGCACCCAGCAGACAGCAAGTGAACGGCGTGAGTGCGCTGCTTACGTTGCACTCAATAATCATGAACCAGACGTTGTGGTGCCGCATCAGGCCAGAAGCGCCGCGCAGGGCGTCCAGCTCAAAGCTCTCTATGTCCATCTTCAAGACCTGCGCCCAACACAGGGTTCGGGCACACGGCACATGCCCGCAGCGGAGGTGACGTGGTATGGAAGTTGGCAGCCACATGGCATTGACAGCTTGATGGGTGGGTGCTCATACAGGTGCAACCGAGGACAGCGCCTGGCCGTGTGGCACGACCCCTGTTCCCGTGATGCTCTCCCACACTCACCTGCACCTCCTCATCCAGGAGGCTATCCGGATCCAGACGCATGGTGGTCATCTCGCCACGCAGCTGCATGCGACGGCGACCATTAGGTGGGCTCAACCAGGGGGTTGGCGGTGGATGTAGGTGGAATGTGCAAGGCTAGGGCGTTCATGGCCAGAGTTCAACGCGCCAGGCGGCCTTTGCATGGCGCAAACGCATCCCATGCATGCGCACAACGAAAGCGTGCTCGCAGACATGCCACTCTCTCTCTCTCTCACACACACACACACACATGCGCGCGCGCGTGCGTGCACAAACACACGCTTACACACACGCACACGCACACTGCGCACCAGGTAAGTATGTCCAGCTTTGGCCTGTGCCTTGATGTCCACCTGCGGGTCCCTGTCGCAGATGCTGAGGCCGTCCCCCAGGTTCCCATCGCCACTGATCATGTGGCAAGTGGACCGCCTGATGCCGTCAAAAGGGGGATGGGTTTCCCCAGGTTTCAGGGTCCAAGTCTGAAAGGTGGTTGCGGCTCAGGTTGGACAGGTGAGGTGCACGTCGATTGAGCGACCAGGCCTGGCAATGGACAGCTTTGAGACATTGCAAAGTGCAAGTTTCCAATTAGTAGCGTCCCGAATTGCTGAGCATGTAATAGCATCCCGAATTGCTGAGCATGAGAAGTGTGTGGGTGAGCCTGAAGTAAGGACCAGGCTACTGCTGGGCCTGTTTGGTGCACAGTGCATGCGCGTCCGAGCCTATGCAGCAGGTAGATCAGAGAGTTCGCGCAAGTGCGCCGCGCCTCACCTGGAGCCAAGGCCAGTCCCGTGAAGAGCGACGCGCGCGGCTAGCTTTGGGTTGTCGCAGAGCGTGTTGCGCATCAGCAGGGTGTTTTCAGACATGGCTGCGTTTGGTGGTGGGCAGGTACATGGCAGGTGAGCCAGGAAGTCAAGGGGGAAACAGGTAGGTTCATACGTGTGTTGATACTCACGAGCAAACAAAGTGCACAACTTCAAAGCCTCCGTCGCCACCGAATGACTGGAAGTGCGTTGCGCACGCACAAGCGTTGTTCTCTGGCAGTCCAGACCCTTGAGCTCGGCTTTGAACGCTGACTAGGCAGGCCGATCGGTGGAGGCCCGGCGTCCAGGCTAACCTACCCTCAAATGCAGCCACATCGGCGCCGGCGGCCGCAGCGTTCACCGTAAACTGAAGCGTGAGTTGGGAGCAGAAGAGCAAGTGAGGGATGGTAAACTGGTTAGTGACAGGGAAACGAAACGAATTCTCCTTGCTGTCTTTTGATACGTGCATGACCCATTCTATGTACCAGCCCTGCGTACATCAAGGGTTTGCCCGCCACTCCTTCCACAGTCGGCAAATTAACAAGGCAGCCCTCGGGCCGCAGCTCGCAGCACTCACCCATCCAACATTGGCGCCGACCTCCACCATCAGCGGCCGCGAGGGCTTTGCCCAAGTTCTGGCCGGCGGCAGCTTGCCTTGCACCGGTGTGCCGGCGGGCGGCACCTTCGCCTCGAGTGCCCAGAGCATTTCGTCAATTTCCTGTCAATCAGCAGTGCGCGGATGGCGGCAGCGGCTCGCTTACATGGTAACCCACTCCCGCCGCTGGCACTGGCGCTGGCGCTGCCGCTGCCGCTGCTGCTGTGATGTCCACTGTGTGTCTCACATATCACAGCCTCACAGCCCTCCCGCCCTGCTTAGGCATGTGCACAGCAGCGCCAGTGCCCCTCATCATGCAGCAAGCACGCAGGGGTGCCAAGAGCGTGCGCTGCAGGTTCTGCACAACTGGCGGCGGGGGCATTGCAGTAGGCGAGCCAAGCCTGCGGCGCCGCCGGCCCCGCCCGCACACCTCTTTCTCCCAGCCACCGCCCTTCATGTGGTCGCTGACAATGTCGTGGCCATCGTACATGAACAGGCTGAACTTGGGCAGCTCCATGCGTTTCACGCGGGCGCTGCCGTTCACGTCGACGTCTGGTCTGCCGCCGCTGCACGCGTTTGTGGGTGCAGGTGCATGTGTGGTGCAGGTGCGCGTGCGACGGCGTGGCGATGGGTGCGTTTGGAGCAGTCTTGGTGTATGTATGAGCCAGCGTGCCCTCTTGTGGCCATCGTCGTGCCTGCCGGCGCAGAACTGCTTAGATCGAACCTGCGAGGACTGAATGCACAACATATCATGCAGTGCGGCACCTACCACTGGTACGCTGCCACCCCTGCCTGTCCCTCGTCCGCTGCCGCCAGCAGAGCTTCGGCCCCAGCAGAGCCCTCACCTGCAGAACAGCTCCTGGTGAACTTGCATCAGCGACCGCATCTCTGCAGCCGTCAGCCCCGGGTTTGCATCCAGCAGCTGCATCGTCGTGAGGTTGGCGGGCCGCACCATCGGCATGACCCAGGCTGCCGATGCCGCGGCGGCGTTCAATGGGCCATGCGTGCGGCCGGGCGTCCCGCCGACATACGAGTACCGGACTGTTGCGCCGGACTGGCCGAGGCAGCCTGTGTTCGCGGCGTGTGTTGCCAACAGCGTGATGATGGCACCAAGCAAGACGCCGACAGCAACCTTGCCTGCGGATCCAGGGATGCAGGGGGGCGAGGGTCCCTAGAGAGCGGGAAGGCGCGGCGGCACAGTCCGGACTGGGGTGTCGTCACCCACGGCAGTGCATCTGCGGAGGCACCGCCCCTTCAGGGCACCAATTCTGCCGCGAGAGGCACGAGGCTCATTAAATAGTGTATTGAAGAAGGAAAAATACGTGTTTTTCTTTTGAGCGCATCCATGGCTCTGAAGGTTATTGCTACCATCCCAAGAGGGGGGGCGCACCCTCCACCCTTGCTTTTCGCCTCAATCAGCAGGGCCTGGTTGTCGACACCCCCAACAGCGATACGCTGGCATCTTGCCATCAGGCAATGTGTGAGTATGCTGTGGGCCCAGGTGGACGGTCGCCCTTGGATGCATCGAGCTACTCAAGGCAACACACAAGCACAATGAGCAGCACCACCGGCGACCCGACCTGTCCACACGCAAGTGACGAGAAGCACGCCCGACGCGCACCCTCTCCGCCCAGCAGCTTGCATGTCATATTCTCCGAGAGTGGCCGCGGCAGGCGCCCTCCGAGTCCCATTGCCCGGATCGCCGAGACTTCAATCGGGTTCGGTGTAGACAGCTGCGCCGCGGAACTGCACCGGTGGTCCTGCCCACACTATCGAAGCTGGTTACCGCTGGCACTTGCTTGCTGTCACGTGCCAAGCTCGCGATCGCCCCTTCAAAGCTGCTTGTCAAAGGGGCAGCTGCCTGTTGAGTCATTACTCAAGTGCTTTTTGATCCTGCAAGCCGGCTATTGTCAACTTATCATTCATCAAAATCGATGACTATCATCATTGAGTTGGATCTGTGCGCACACCAGCACGGCCGTCTGCGTCGTTCGCGGCGGCGTGCGCCAGACAGTCAATGCATGTATGCAGGGCTGGCCACCAACCGGTCAGTCGTCCCGCATGCACAGCAGTGCCACTCCCTGCAGCACCCAGTGGTCGGCATCGCTCCCCGGCCGCATGGGCAGGCCGACGCACAGCACAAAGTTTGTGCTCTGGCCCGTGGTGGACAGCACCCCGGCCCTGGAGGAGAGGGGAGTCAAGGTGGTGCGGTTGTGCAGGCAGGAGGATGTGGGGCTAAAAGAGGGCGGCTGGCCAGGCACCAGCTGGCACTATTCCAAACTACCCTTTGTTGCTGCGAGATGTACAGCCCTGGCTCTTGCTTGTGCAGCGAGACCGCATGCACACCCTGATCTCCGCCTGATTCCAAGCCCCACAGCGCACACGCCTGAGGCCAGCCAACACACCTGGCGCTGGTCTTGTAGAGGGGGCAGAAATAGCAGCCCTCAGGGGTCGCTGCATCGCGCTGTGGACGCACGTGCACCACGGGGAGCGGCGACAGCATCACGCCCGGCTCAGCCTCTGCCAGGCACCTCCCCTGCGCGTCCCACCGCGCGCCATCCAGCCAGAGCCCGCTGATGTGGACGCCGTCGGTGGGAGGTGACGTCACCTCTTCCCGCAGTTGCTGCTCCTGGACCTGCGCGTTTGTAATGGAGGTGTTGTTGAGATCGCCGAGCATAGTGCAGACACATCCCTTTTCACGCTTGTACACGCGAGGGCAGTAGTGTGCAAGCAACAACAGCAGATCTCAGATGGCATACCCCAGAAGGAGGGGTCCCATTGGCTTACCTTAAAACCGAAGCCGAGTGTGTCGATGGGTATGGCGTACTTGCGTGCGTGCATCTGCAGCACCCCGGTCATGAAGCCCTGAGGGAAGAACAGGCCTGTGATGGCGGCGTGAATGCAGGGTCAATACACAGTTTGGCGCTGCGTTGGGCGCGCTCACACCAATACTACTGGGCTTGTAGTAATGCATGCACGTCATGCACACGGCTGCTCTCAGGCTGATCAAAGTGGGGCCTCCGCCTTGCACGGTCGCAGGCGCCCCACGTTTGAGCACCCACCCTGCCAATGCATTACGCCACCTTGGAAGGCACCCAACATGCCCGTGTTTACCCCTGTATGTTTGCACGCACCTGGCAGCCAGAAACAGGCCGGCGGCCCCTTGGCAAGCCACTCCCTCACAAAAGCCACCCTGGCTGCGTAGTCAGCCACCCAGCTACCCAGCGGCTTCAAGGAGGGGTAGGCTGCCCGTGCCCAGAGCTCCGGAACCTGGAGAAGGACAACAATTGCGTTGTAGGATGCAGCTCTGTTACAGGGTGTGACTCTGAATGGAAACACGCTCGTACATAAACTTTTGGCTTTCAAATAGTCTTGAGCATGCGCATACGTAAGAGCGACCACTGGAGTCCTGGTGCGAATCAGGCCCTCTGATGTATTGAGAGCTGTTTGTCCTCACAAAGCCATCCCCGCGACTGCGTTCTGTGGCAGCAGCAATGCAGCAGCAGCAGCAGCAGCAGCAGCAGCAGCAGCAGCAGCAGCAGCAGCAGCAGCAGCAGCAGCAGCAGCAGCAGCAACAGCCGCAGCAGCAACAGCAACACCAGCAGGAGCAACAGCAGCAGCAGGAGCAGCAGCAGCAGCAGCAGCAGCAGCAGCAGCAGCAGCAGCAGCAGCAGCAGCAGCACAAGCAGCAGCGCAAGCAGGGGCTCGCCACCCGGCCCACCTGGTTGTTGCGCAGCGAGTGGTACATGCCCTCCAGCTCCCCGCTCATCACCACCAGGCCCTTGATGGCCCGCTGCAGCTCCGCCAGGCTGCCGCGCAGCACCGCCGCCAGCTTCTGGAACCGCTCCACCTCCTGACCCAAAACAATGCTCAGGCTGTCCAGGCGGCCAGTCGGCTGCTGCTGCTGCTGCTGCTGCTGCTGCTGCTGCTGCTCGTCCTCCTCCGCCACTTGTTGTGCCCGCTCATGTGGCTCCTGCTCACCCGCGGCGTCGTCATTGAGTCGCTGCTGATGCTGATGCTCGGGCGGCTGCTCGTGTGCTGGTGCAGCCGCGTCTGCCGCAGCCGCAGTCGCTCCGTGGTCGAACAGGCCTGCTGTAGCCTCGGACAGGTCAAGATCTGGAGGAAGAGCGGCTAGGATCTCCGAGGCGAGCGCACGTACTATCTGGTCACTGGTTGCGGCGCCGCCGCCAGCGCCTGTCGCGTCGCGTGGCTGCATTAGCAAGACTGTGTCAAGCATGCGGCGCGCCTCCTGGCGCTGGAAGGCAATGTTTGCGTTTGCGTGCATGCCAAACACACCCGGTGCCTCGGTGCTGCATGGTGTTTATGGGACGGCGGGGGGGGGGGGGCAGTCAGGCCGATTGGTCACGCGTCCCTGCGCTCCGCATGGAGTCTGAGGGTGGTGGTGGCGGTGCCGCTGCTGCTTCTCCTGCTGCCGCTGCCCCTGCTGCAAGAACAGTGTGTATCAGGAGTCCAGCATCAACAATTGACCGCGAACGCGGGCGACCCTGCTTTCCAGATGGGTTCTCCCTAGCCGCACCTGGGCAGCGCCCTCACGTGCTCCCGCACCGCCTCCAGCGCCGCGCCGCCCGGCGCCACGGTGTAATCGCCGCCCGGCAGCGCCAGCAGGAAGCCGTCGGCCTCGGCCGCGCGCGGGGAGATGTAGCGCCTCAGCACGCTGGCGAGGCAGCGGCGGTCAAGATCATCGGTCACCCTGCCGCCATAGTTGATCTGGCCGACCACATACTCAAGTGCCTCCCAAGGGATCGGGCCTGGAAGGCGCGGTTGGGACACTTTTCACGTCATTCCAAGCGGACTCGGATGATTCACCAGCCACAACAGCACGGGCAGGAAGCCAGCAAACTCTTGGCGTAGCGTCAAGCAAGGTTGTAGGTCTGAAGCTCAGGGGCATACGACATCGTGCCATCGCGTTCCCATGTTTGCAATCACGAGTGTTGATGCGTGCGGATCGCCCACCCTGCTGGTCCAGGAACATGCGCAGTGTCGCCGCGCTGCAGTCCAGGTCTGACGCGTTGAACTCGTAGCGGATGTTCCAGCCAAGGGGGCCAAACTTGCGGCGCTCCTGAAGGGTGGATGGTTTTCCGGAGGACCAGCAAAAGCAGATGAGTCATGCACTTCGCACAAACGGTGTGGGGCAGTGTTGCATTGGTCGTCCCTTCTCTGGCAGCCACCTGATTGTCCAGAACCAGGCCAACTTGTCTGGGCCTGAAGGTCTGGCGGTGTTGTGTGTGCATGTCCTGCTACGCATTTTGCCCCAAACTCTGTCCCTCAGCTGCACCTTCACCAACGCTTTTCATGACCCACCTGCACCACCGCGTGAAAGAATGACAGCGAGTACAGCAGGCGACGCCATTCCATCGGCTTGGCGGGGCAGGAGTCCAGGACCTTTGACATGGAGAGGGTTCGGATGCAAAGGCAAGGGCACATTTGAAGGGATGCGTGGCGCAGATATTAAGTCCAGACAGCGCGCTGCTACAACATGAGCAGCACACTTGTGCGCCGCAATGTGGGTGCCCCTAGGGCGTGCCGCTGTTGTGGCACATCGTCTGCACCCTGCACTGCCATCAGCCGTCTGACCCCTCCTGCCTGCTGGCAGGAGGCTCGTCAAGTACCCCACCTCCTGGCTGAAGTCGTTGTAGGTGCGGGCCAGGTTGGCCTTGACGCCACGCGGCGGCTCATTGGTAAGCTCAACGCCATTTTGGAGCACTGCAGGGCATGAGCAGCAGCACAAGGGGCAGATCACATGGCAGCAGGCAAGCCAGCCAGCAGGCAAGCCTGCACGCAGGCCCCCTTGTGCAGGTACGTTACATCAGGTGTGCAGGCGGCTGCGACCGGGGCTGTTGGCGCACTTGCGCCACACACGCCTGAACAGGCCGGGATCTGCCAGGTTTGCAGCTGATTGCCTTTTTGCCCATCCATACATGCAGACTCCTGACCTGCCACGGGGAACACTGGTGACGGCATTGATGTCAGCCACAGCCGGAAGTCGGGGTGGGTGCCACTGCCCTCCCTGCCCAGCTCGTCCACCTGGCGTAGTCCGCATGGTGCATATGAGGGTTGGTGGTGGTTAGTAAGAGCAGCAAAGGCGCAGGTCGTTTCGCGCAATACCAATGCTACTTTGCTGCGGAGCCTCGGGCAAGTGGTCTGTCAGAAGAAAGACGTTCAGTCGTCAGACTATCAAGCACTGCCGGCACTGCTGGCCTCACATTGCAACAGCGCAGCAAACAATGACAAGTATGGATCCTCTCACGAATCATTGCCCTCACCTTCTCTTCCAGCCGCGTCATCCAAGACTCGGCCAGGTGGCAATTCTGCAGGCACACCCAGTCCCCCACGCCAGCCGCATGCTTGACGATGCTCTCCGCCAGGGGCCCCTGGCCCTGGCCCAGGCTGATGAGGTGGAGGCGGCTGCCCATCGGCCAGCCCTTGCGGTCACCAAAGCGCTGGAGCGCCGCCGTGGGGTCAGCCCCTGCAATGTGTATCATAAACAGCGTATGGTGATGGATGAAAAAGGCGAGAGCTGCCACAACTTGAACGAGGGCGATTGGTTGCAAATGTACAGAGTCAATCGAAATAAAAGACCATCGTTCACCTTGACCTCATCGACACATTCAATTATAAAGGGGTCATGGAAGCCCAACCCACCCAGCCTGGCACACCTGTTGAGAGGATGAAGATGATGGGAGTCTTGCAGCTGGTGTCGCCGAACACCTCCTCCAGCGTCCAGGGGGCGGGCTCAGTGAATGACGCCCCCAGGCGCGCGGCAGCATACCTGTACGCAAGATGTACGCGGCAACGCGGGTGGCATTGAGGGTTGCGGGCGATCAACTTGATCCTTGCAAAACCCCTTGGTGACGGGCCTCAGAGGGGTTCAGTGTCGAGCCGACAACGCAATATTAGTGCATTGTTTGATACCCAGATGGTTTATCGTACACCCGCATGTGGTTGCGGGCAGGAAAGGAGGAGCGCACAGCCAAACTCACTGGGTGCAGCCAAACGACAGCTTCTCCTCGCGCAGCGCCCTCAGCAGCAGGAGGCGTGGGAAGCTGGACGCCGGCAGGGACGCCTCCCAGGCGCCAGGTAGCGGCCGCAGGTGGGGCTCGTCCGACTCGTGCCTGCAGTGCAGAGTGTGAGGTGAGACGTTTACTACGCTGTGGACAAACGCCAGACTACCTGACAATCAGCTGTGGATAACCCTGGCAAATAGCTTTGGAGAAAATGCGAAATCAAAGAGTCGGCCTGTAATCGGATCGGCCTGGCACCCACCAGTGTGCCCCGCCAGCCGCAAAACGCTGCTCACCAAGCTTGCCAATCTGCCGCGTCTGGCCCAGCAGCCACGCCCGCCGTGAGGCCCCTCAGCGCCGCCACAGCACCCTCCAGATAGCACAGCGCCCGCCACGCCACCTCGCCCACCCACGCCGGCCGCCTAGCCGCTGGAGTTGCGATGCCGCTCGCGTTGCCAGCTGCGGCGGCCGGCGGCCCCCTGAGGAAGAAGGCCCACTCCGCCTCGGACACCTCCCCCGCCGACGGGTGCCGCGCGATGGACGCGGCCAGCAGGAAGCTGAAGAGTCCCTTATGCTCCTCAAACAGCGCCCGGCTGACGCTTCGGAACACAAAATCCGTCGTGTAGTCGTTGAGGATCTGCAACCTCGTCGGTACGTCCTCGGACTGCTCGCTGGACTCGACGCACGTTTTGAACAGCCGAGAAAAGTAGGCCAGGGAGAACTGGTACATTGGGCTGACTAATGCGAGGTCGGCGATGACAAAGTACAGGATGGAGGCACGCGTGGCTGCGGGGCGGTAGCTCTCGCGGGCCTCGTTGATGGAGCGCTCAGTCTCCTCGGCCTCGCGCACGCGGCCCTGGATTGGCAAAGCGGTAGGTAAAGGGCAGCGTGGGGCATCCTGCTCTGCACCTGCGCCTGCAGACAAGTCTTGCATCAGCGCTGGCCCCTGGCCGCTGGTCTGGACCCAGCCAGGGTGATCATGAACTCCGGCTGCGCAGCCTCCAGAACAACATACAGCGCACGCTGTTTTGTGCCGTGCGTCCCTGGCCGCCCACCTGGATGGCGGCGCTCGTGAGCTTTGAGTTGTTGAGGGTGGCTATGAGCTGCTCGTCATCCAGGATGTTTCCCTCACACTCGCGCAGCAGCCTCAAGATCTTATCCTCCAGGTCCTGTTGGGCATTCGAATTTGAATTGTGATAAGGGGTGTTTTGGGGGTGTTGAAGGAACATGCAGGCAAATGGGAATAATACTGCGGACGTGGCAATTAGTGTGGCCTCTGGCCAGCTTGAGCTGCCGCGGCACTCCACAGGCGGCAGCCTCAAACCCGTTCAGCGAGTAGGGGCCTTTCGCCATCATTGCCGCCGAGCCAGCCGGAAAGCAGCCCTGCGGTTTGCCAGCGTGCCTGCAGCTGCCTCTTGTCGGCGGCTATGGACACCACCAGCCTGTCCCGCGCCTCCTCCAGCTCCTGCCGCTCGTTGCGCACCACCTCCCCCAGCAGCTGGTCCTCCAGACCCTGAGAGGGCATTCATCCAATAACGGGGTGCCGTCCATGATCCTCATATTGAATACGCAGCACGGACCTGGCCAATCATGACGGACCATGCTTGGCAGCAACTCTTGTTGTCTGTTTTGCATTCGCCCTTGCATTTTAAGTTGACCCGGTGAATGCCGCGTCACCAGAGCCACCGGTCATCACCTTCATGGTGACTGTGAAGTTTATGAGGGTGACCTTGATGCAGACCTCCGGCAGGTAGTGGGGGTTGGCCAGCTTGGTGGTCAGGTACAGCCTGCAGCGCAGTTGGTTGAGAGGGAGGGAGGCGACTCAGCAAGGCTTTGCCGGGAGGGCCTACGCAACTGGGCTTTGTGTGTGGTGGTGTGTGGACGGGACCGTTGCCGCCGGAAGTAGCCCCAGCCACACCGCGTCCACCTGAATCCTCTTACTAATTCCCGGTTTGGCCGCACCCGCTTTCTCCTCTGGCCTTTACGATTAGTGGCGTTTCCCCTTTGGGGAGCCAGGGTCTCTCCCCTCGCTGCTGGAAAAGCGTGATGTAATCTAATGTAATGTAATGTACCTGAATCCAGCATCGTAGTCCACGTCAGCATCCCCCAGCCGTATCATCATCCGCCCGCCCTGCTTGAACACGGCGCGCGCCAGCACAGGCTCCAGGGCAGGGTCTAGGCTCTCCCCCACGTCCTCTGAGGGCCAGGCAGTGCAGGGCGGCAGCAGCAACGGCGTTGGCAGCAGCGGCGCCGGTTAAAGTCATCAGGAGCGGTGCACAATAACATTGTCAGCAGCAGCACGCATATTGTCATGTGCAGGGACACATGTGTGTGATGAATAGGCCCCCTGGGGTCGTCACGGCCTGGAGCGTGACATACAAATCAGCTCACAACCGTGAGGGGCTGGGATCCAGACTGGCCCCACCTATCAGTACAGGGTTGCCGACTCGGATGCAGCTCTCCAAGGAGCGCAGGAAGTTGGCGTCTCCTGGCTTCACCACCCGCAGCCCGCTGCGCGCCTCTAGGGCGCGCACCCAGCCGTTCGCCTGGCCCTGCGCCCGTCAGGGCAGCACGCAGGTAGTCAGCGTGGGAATTTCTCCACCGCTCGGCAGGATACCGACATGCCGCCGCCAATCCTTTGAGCCACCAAAAACGCATGTTACTGGCACCTGCCAAAGCAACACAGCAGCGTTTTTGAGATGTTGCACCTCCTGTCGTCGATGCCGCCCCCCTTGTCCCCAACCCCACCTGTGGGTCAATCATCAGGGGCCACCGCTTGGCCCTGGTGGCCAGGATGGCATTGTCGACGCTCACGCCGTCGGACGGCAGGCCTGCCAGCACCCATTCTCGGACCTGCGGCGGCGACAGCGACCGGACACAAGCGGACGGCTGGGTCAGGGGGGTTGCCTGCCAAGGGCCTGCAGATGCGGTGCAGGGCGGCTTGCTCATCTGAGGGAAGGGGCGGCACGAGGAGGGGTGGATCGGGTTGCAGGGGCGCGCTGCAGGCGGTCTTACCTCGACAGCCGAGGCCAGCGTGCCGCGCAGCGTGCAGTCGCCGCTGACGGGGATGCCGCGCGCCTGGCAGCCCTCCACCCAGCGCCGCATCAGGTCTTCCCTGCGGGCAGGCATGCGCGATTTCGCACAACTCAATCTCACAGCTGGCACACTTGTGCAACAGTCAATTGTTAGAGTGCGCCTTGTTTGCGTGATTGCAGGCGTTCCTGCAGCCTCACCGCTCTTTCAAACCAAGGCATGGAGGAGCATGCGCATTCCCCCCTAATGCCGTGATGCCCTTCTCGGCAACCCCCTTCCCGCCCTCGCACAGGAAGAAAACACACCTGAAGGCGCCCGTGAAGGCCCCCAGGTATGCGATGCAGCCTGCCGCCAGGAACACGTCCCCCACTAGCAGCCGCGCGGACTCCTCGATCGCAGCCGCCGTGGCCCCCCAGCGGACGCCCTCGTCAGCCAGCCCGGATGTCAGCTTGCCGGCGCGCTCCAGCCGCTTGCGCGTCAGGTCGGCCTGAGGTGCAGTGTTGGTAACACATGGCACGTTTGATTGAGCTGCGTTGCGAAAGTCCAGCTGTCTCCAGTCGCCTGCAGAACGGACACACCTTCTCCGGCCCTGGCGCAAGCCAGGAGTGCAGTAATTTGATGCAGCGATGCTGGCCGTCGGCTCTTGGCCAAGCACAAAATGACCTGCCGGCCAGGGGCATCACACACCCCTCAACCCTTAAGGCCTCAGCACCCCCCCCCCACACACACAGCCCACACAATTACATGCCTGCTCATTGAGGTGCTTCTGCTCGGCCTGCGTCTCCGCCAGCTGGCGCCGCAGCCCCTCCACGCGCTCCACCACCTCGCGCAGCGCGGCCTGCTTTGCGGCGAGGGCGGCGTTGGCGGACGCGAGCTGCTCCTGCGCCTGCCGCAGCTTCTGCCTCTTTGGCTCCACCACCTTGGCCACCCTGCTCAGAGGGCGATTTCGAGGGGCGGCGGCTCAGCTGGCGGCGGGTCAGGGTCACAGCACCTTTGCTTGCCAACGCACCAAGGTGAGTGGCTAAGGCACCATGTATCGCAACATTCATTTGACCATGAGCAAGAGACTGGGAAGCACCTCGCTGTGCAAAGCAGAATGCATGCTGCACTGTGATGGACGTTTGGCCGACCCCCCACCTGTTGTACACGTCCATCGCACGTGTCCACATGCAGAGACTCATGGCCGCCTTGCTCTGCTTGGCCACGCTCTCTGCGGCACGCAAGAACGTTCAGGTGAAACATGTTTGGCGCCGTTTGCGGTGGCCGATGCTGCGAGCGTTTATGCAAGCCATACCCACATAATCATGAGCTCGCGGTCAACGTCGGGCGCTGCTCTCCCCAGCAAGCAGCAGGCATGAAATCAGTGCAAACGTGCGCGCACACTTGGCCGAGCCTGCGCTACCCCCATCCAGCTGCGGCCCTCTCTCCCCACGCCCCTCGCATCCCCCACTCATGCACTGCGCACCGGGTGTGTACGTGGGGTCATCGATGTAGCGCCGCAGCTTCTTGATGACGCCATCGGGGATGCTGTCCTTGTCAAACTCCTCAAGGGACCGCATGAAGTTGCCCTCACCCAGGATACGCTTGGCCTGGAAAGTCCCAGGGTTGTATGTAACAATTGATTTGAACAGCAGCCAATGTTGCCGCTGCTGCCTTGAATGGGAATCCGATGGTGAGCAGCCTGCCTGCACCTAGTCTTGTTGTATGCAACAACTGACCACACCCTGCCTGTGCATGTGTACGAGACACTTCGGCGTCGGCAGGCTCATCATCAATGCTCCCAATCCGCGGCAGTCCGCCCGCCGGGCCCAGCGGACTCACTGTGTCCCAGTCAGGCTTCTCCTGCTTGAGGATGCAGACCGCCTCCAGGGTCATCTGGACCAGCGGCGGGGGCTTGGGGAACGACTTGATCTCCACAATATCATTCTGAGGGGCGATTCAAAACAATTCGAGTCGGAGCAGTGGAGGGTAGGGGTGGGCTGGGGTGGACGAGCGCTTGTTGGTAAAAAAATCATGCATGCCAATGTCGGGGGTGTTCTAGCGAGGGGTTGAGCCGCCAACAGTGCGCAAGAGCGCAGTCAACAGCGGCAGCAAACGCCATGGGGCGGCGATGCAGCACATGTGACCACTGCCTTCCTGCTGGGGGAGGCGCGCCTCCAACCGGGCGCGGTCTTGCCTTGTTGAGCGCCTTTAAGCTGTCAAGCGCGGCCTCCAGGGCGGGCAGGGCCTCGTCCAGGTCAGCTTGGGCCTCATCCGCCATGGCCTGGTCGCGGGAAGTTGTGCGTTTGTTGCTTGTTTGGGGAAAAGGGGTGGGGAAGTTGAAACCAAGGGAGGGTGTGTTGCAGTGACAAATCACGCATCTCATCAATAATTTTTGGGCCTCCAATAAAAGCTTTCTGAGGGCCCATCAAACACAGTGCAACTGCCGCTGCCGCTTCCAACCCTCTACCCCTCCTTGCGTTGTCCACAACCAAGGCGCGCGTGCACCTGAGTCGCCTGCTGCATGCGCTTCACGTCCGCCTCCTCGAATTCCACCACCGCCTTGACCTTCTCCGCCTCTGCCTGGTCCCTGTCCACGCGCCCCAGCAGCTCCGCCGTCGCCTCCGCCTTTGCGGCGAGGACGGGCTGCAGGGCGGCCAGCTCTGTCCGCATGGCCTCCACCAGAGAGTTCGTCTCCTGCAGCTTGCGCAGGCCGTTGAGCAGACGGTCGCGTGCCTGCCGTAGCTCCTCCCTGCAGGCACGGCGGGAGGTGAGGATGCTGGAGCATGGGTAGCCGGGGGTGACGTGTACTAAGGGGTTTGGTTTTAGCCAGGTGGCCAGGAGAAGGTGAACCAGACGGCGCAGGCAATTTGGGCCGGGAGCCCGCAGGACACTGGTGCCTGGGTGCGGGGGCCCACCTCTTGACTGCCAGCAGCTGGAGGTACAGCGAGATCATGTCGAGGTAGCTTTTGGGGGTGGTGTAGAACCTGGGCGGGATTTGGTAGGGCTTCAGCAATGAAGGACTACCTCTTTTGCCTGCGGGAGGTCCAGAGTCAAAGCTGAGCACCGACATCCCCGTGCTGTGCCGGCATCAGAGTTGGGCCAATTCAGCTGGCTGGCACTTGCCGACGTACCTGCGGCGCAGTTGCGCGTAGAACCGGGTAGAAGCTTCCTCGACGCTAGTGTGCAGCTCCACGCACATGCCGGCAAGGGCCTTGCTGACCTGGATGTTGAGTGGCGTTGTAGCGGCGCTCGTTTGGCCATCATGCCTTATGTCAATACAAAGCCAATTGCTTCATCCCCCGATTTTTGTTATCAAGCTCACGCAACCCCCAATGCACCTTAAACAAACCACATCGTTCCCGTGTGGGTCGCAACTCTCCACCTGCACTTCTACCCACCACCCCACCCCGCCCCGCCCTGCTGCGTGCACCCTCCACCCCATTCTCCCACCTCAGGGCCCCCGAGGTCGGTGCCGTCCAGGAACTTTGCAGACACCGACGCCAGCGCCTCGGCCGGCCAAGCGTTGAACCAGTCGATGGTGGTGCAGTTGATCAAGGAGGGGAACTCTCGGCACCTGCAGGGTTGCAGGGAAAGCGTGCTCAGCTCGGATGTTTCAGTCAGACTCATGGGCACATGCCCTTCACAGTCTTGACTCCCGGCTTGTCCTGCCAAACCGCACCCCGAAAATCAGCCAACATTGAGCGCCACTCCAGAATTTGCCACCGTGCACCCTACAACCCCTTACACTCGCCCTTTGGGCACCGGCCTCAGCGACCCACCTTGCCCTGAAGGCGTCCCCAACGGGGCTCATTGCAAGGACGATGTGCAGGTTGTCGCGCACACGGTCGATAAACGCAGTCCAGCAGCCCTCGCGGCCGGCGTTGAGGCCGCGCGCCGCCACCCAATCCCTGACATCCGAGACAATGGCGTCCTTCTCGTCAGCTCCAAACATTCCAGGGACCTGTAGGTTTTGTCAGCGCCAGGGGCACGTTGAGTTGTCAGCAGGCCGTGGATTGCGAGTAGTTACTAGGATTGCAACAGCGTCCCGCCGTGCTGAGGCGGGATGACACGACTTTTCGCCCATCGAGCGCGGCACGACCTGCCCGCAGATCTCCTGCAGCAGCACAACGGGAACAATTCCTCGTTCAAGCAAGCATGCTGTGCCACACCAAGGCGGCGGCCAGCCGCTCACCTCCCCGCTGTTGAGCATGTTGTTGACGTCCTCAAGGAAACCCTCAGACACGATCTTGCTGTCAGGCAGCAAGAACACGACGGGCTTGCCCTCCACGCCCGCCTGTGGTGGTGGTTGGGAGTGGCAAAAATCAACAACGTGCCTGACAATCAGCAAGACCCCTCCTGTGTTTTGGCAAAGTGTCGCACATCGGCTGTGAATGCAGGTCTGGTAGATCACACGCAAACCTTGAGCCTGCATGCTTGCCTGTCTGTACACCTTCTTGAGGTCTTCTCTGAACTCAGCCTGGCCGTAGCCACGGGTCAACTCAATTTGGAAGAGGCTAAAGCCACCCATGTGCGCTGCAGAGCAACAGGAGTTGAGTGTGGTGAGTGCGAGGAAGGGGGTGGGAGGAAGACAAGATGCGGCAAGTGTGTGTGCCTAAATGTGGTGTGGCCTGGAACCAATGGTGGGAGCAGAGCAGCACAACTATCTAGCTGGATGATGCAGCCAGACGCATCCGCTCGTACCTGCAAAGCGTGTGAGGCTCTGCTTGCCGCTGCCGCCCACGCCGACCAGCAGGGCGTTGCCACGCGGCAGCCGCAGGATGCGGGATATGCGGGAGATGTGGTGCACCGCCTCCTGGAAGAACACTGCGGGCCGGTCACACAGCGCGGTTGTGTGCAGTAACATTGTCAGGATCATGCGCATGACGGTCCTTGCCGCCATCAGCATTTGTTCTGAGTAATATGGTGCAGTCTGCGATAGAGTCCCCAACCGGACCGTGCTGTGCTGTTGCCAAAGTTTAGCGCAAACCGGCCCCCATCACAGCTTTTGCCTCCGAGGGCCGTGGCTCACCCAGGCTCATGGTGCCTGAGCTGCTGGTGTTGTAGTCGTCCAGGCAGCCCTCCAGCACCTTGTGCAGGCGCGCCTGGTCGGTCACCTCCTCGTACTGCCGCTCTGAGAGGTCCAGGCCTGAGAGAGGCCACAATGGCAGGGTCACAGGGGTTTGGCGGGGAAAGGGGCGTCTGGCTGGTGCCACAACCTCTGTCAAACCTCGTTACGGAACAAGTGTACTTGCAATGCAAATGTGCAAGCTGCCGTTGTTCAGGAAAGCATGCAACCCTCTGATTACTACTATCGTCACGCAAAACTCCACGGGTTTCTCATTGGCTGCACACTCAGTCAGTGCCGGCGCACCTGGCCGCATGAAGTCTCCCCACATGATGACGTTGTTGCAGAAGGCGTCATCATACGACATCGTGCTGACGCCGTGCTTTGTTCCAAGCTCCAACTACCCGTCCATTGTGGCGTGGCGGACGTGAGCAATTAGGAGGCGGCTGGCCCCCTGCCAGGTGCCACAACACGACAAACAACTCGTTTCATTATGAAGCGCCTCGTGCGCCATATAACTCGTACCTCAAAGCCATGCAAAAGCCATGCAAAAACTCAGGGGGCACGTGTATTGAGTTAGATACACCTGCAGCTTCCATCGATTTCTGTTGCTCATTAACTGCCACGCACCAGCATGGTCTTGAACTGCCTTCGGTCACCCTCACAGGTCAGCCGGTCGTGGAACACGCGGCAGGACTCGTGCAGCCACAGGCGCGCCAGCTGGTCGCGCGACGACAGGGCGCGGGGGCTGGCCAGCAGCAGGCCCTGCACCACCTTCGACAAGTCTCGCATGTTGAAGGTGTAGTGGCTCTTGGCCGGGGTTGGCAGGAGCTCCTCCGAGATCCTGATCAGGGTTCAAGCCAACGCCAAAGTTCAGATGGATCGCCAATTCTACTGAAGCACAATTGTACATCCAGCTACGGCCCGCTTTTCACCCGCACATAGGTCCAAACGCCTCGCGCAGCATCAGCTCCAGTGCACCATGCACGATGCTGCTTCGAGGGCCCGGGACAAGCAGCGGGCGGTGGGCGTGATGATCAGGGGCCAGAGCAGCAATCAGCAAGCACCCCTCCCCCTCAAGCCGTCATCCAAGGCGGCGCGCACCTGTTGTAAGCCTCGACGCTCGCGTTGACCAGGGGCCCACACAGGGCCTTGATGTCGGCGCCAAAGTCCGACAGGAAGCCGCCCAGGATGGCGGTCAAAATGGTCTTGGTGGCAGCGTCGGAGGGCGGGGGGACCGCCAGCATGGTGAAATGGCGCAGGAACCTGATGACGATGAAAAGTGGCAGGTGGGCACATCCACGTCATCTGAGGGGCTTGCTCATTGCTGTTGCTGATTAATCTTGATGGTTGCACACGCACATCCGTAAAACACAAGACCAAGCCTTGTTTGTATGCCCCATGCTGCCTGCCGGGGGAGCTGCAGCCGCAGCTGCCGCGCACCTCGCAGTGACCTCCTGGCGGCCGCCGCCAGGCGGGGCGCAGGCGGCGCAGAGCACCGTGTCCTCCACCTCCTTCCAGAACAGGCCCTTCCTGTGACGGTTGGGCGCGCAGCAGCCCCGAGGTGGGGAAAGAGTGCTCGCGCTGGAACCCTAGCCGCCCAGTGGACAGGCGGGAGGGTCCCTCACTGGCTGGCATCACGGCCATTTGCGTCGGGATACCGCCACACACCAACTACCGCTGACAGCACAGGCCGCTGCCATCCACCTGGCCGCGTTTGCTGCAGGCGCGCGCGCGCGCGCGCGCACACACACGCACACACACACACACACGCACACACACACACAAACCACACCACACGACGCCACACAAACAGCTCACCTGTCGTAGAAGCCCTTGAAGTCCTGCAGCTGTCGCAGCAGCTCAATCGGCGGCTGGGCCCCGAACGCCTCCCTGGCCGGCATGTTGACGTCATCAACGAAAAACACTGCGCGCCGCCCGGCAGGGGCGCCGTACCTACGTGATACGGTTGCACAAGGTCCAAAGGCACGTAATCAGCCGCATGCAGTGTTCAGGTCTCGTGCGGCCGCAGGCGCCATTGGCAGTCTGGTAGGTGCTTTGATCCGATTCCAGTCAATAGCGGCAGGCACGGCCCCCCTTTGATGTATCATGCGCAGGTGCACGACAGGTGTTTGCTCAAACAAAACTGCACAAATGTTGCAATGCATGCAGGAACTTTGCGCCCACCTGTTCTTCCGCTTCTTCTCCAGCTTCGACTCCATGAGCAGCTGCGTCTCCAGGCTGCCCGTCTGCGCGCTGAAAACGACCGTGTGCGCCACCACGTCCCGCGCCGAGCCGCGCGCCGCCGCCGCGCCCCAGGCCCCCCTGCTCGCGCCGGCCGCCCCCTTCGCCGGCGCCGGCGCGGGGGCGCCGCTGAGCGCGGCGAGTGCGGCCTGGGCCATGACAGACTTGCCGACTCCGGTGCTGCCGGTGAGCAGGACAGAGCGGTCGACCCCCAGGCAGAGGTCCATGAGGGCCGCATAGCGCACAGTGTCCACTGTTGGCACCAGCATCTGGCGGGCAAGAGTGGGTGTTGATTCTTGTGGTGGCATGCTTGCGCGCACGTTGCGAGAGCTGCCGGTGCGAAAGCTTCGGGGCTTCTCCATCCGGCTCGTCGCACCCGACCAATTTCCGTGTCACCACCCAACTGCTGATGAGCCACGGTCGACGCGATGGCCGCAAAACCCCATGCATGACCCAAGCCCTGGATGCTGTTAAGCGTGCTAGCCATTTGCCCCCAGCACCCACCTGGAAAAAGGGCTGGTCCCGGCGGTACACGAAGGTCGGGACGCTCTCAGACCAGCGCCGGAGGTCGCAGGTTGTCGGCTCATTGGGGCCGCCCTTTGAGATGAACACCTGGAAGTCAAACACAGGTGCTCCTCCTAGAGTTCCGCATACGGGTGAGCAGGGTGTGTGCTAATGGGCTTACAGAACGTAAGCGACATAAAGGTTTGTGCTCAATGCTGCTCACGACAAACATGTGTCTCCACATGGAAGCAGCCTCTTGGCTGGTTTGACCCAAATGCCCCCACAAGCCGCTGGGCAGTGCTTGTGCCATACTTTGCCGCCGCTGTCCCTGTCCAGGCTGCTGAGATGCGCACCCGGGAACGTGACGATGGGTGCCAGCTCCTCCCTGGCAAACTCGTCGAACGCCTCGCGGCAGGGCGCGGCCAGGTTGCCGCCGATGGCCCAGACGAAGGCGAACGCAAAGAGGGCGCCAAGGGCCGACGAAAACGCGGCCCCCTCAATGGCGTGAAGGGCGAGGCCTCGGCAGGGGTCCAGCAAAGACTGTGTGTGAGGGATGGCGCGAGCCGTGTGCGTGGTGAAGTGAGCGGGTGCACTCATGGAAATCGTGGAGATTCCGACACACCCCATCAGCAGCGAGCGCCATGCAACGCTACAATGGCACTATTACATTTGCAGAAAATACTGATAGAATGACTGATCCGCTCAGCTGTAACCACTGCTTTGAAGAGTGCTTACCTGAACCATGGCAGCCAGGCTGGCCACGAGGTTGTTGTCAACCGACGCAATCTGCTCCCTGCCGTGCCGCCTTACCCACGCCAGGCCCGCATCAACGTGGCCCTCAAACAGCGCGACCACCGCGGCGCGCTGCTCTGCAGACAGCTGCGGCGCCGACGCCGCCAGCTTCCCGCCCTCCGCAGCCTGCAACAGCCGTGCAGAGGCGGGTCGGCAGAAAGCACAGGCTCCCAGGCGCGTCTAATTGCACAGTGAAGGGAAGCAACAAGAACCCTCGGCACAGTCAGCAATATGCCAGACAGTGTTTAGAGAGGCCAGCTGATCCAGACATCCATCTCAGACAGTTTTTGATTGCATCACAACTTGCGGCGGCTTGGCCCCGCTCACCCAGCTTTGAATGAAGGGTCGCCACCCCAGCTCCCCTGGCGACACGTACACCATGCCGCAGCGCGACACTGTGGCCGGGGATGCGACCGCCAGATCAGCGACCTCGAACAGCATACGCATGGAAGACGGGTTGAGCTTGATGCGCTCGCCGTTTGGCAAGCAGAGGGTGCAGTTGTCGTCGAGCACTGTAAGTAGGAGATTATGGGTGTTGAGAGCCGGCGTGAGACAGGGGGTTGCCAGTTGAGGGTGCATGGGGCAGCTGTTAGCAGTTTATGGTTGGCCAGTGGGAAGCACAGCTGTGCACATGGTTTTCAGGACTGGATGGTCTGATTTGGCATGGGTTGCGCTTGCTAATTGATTGCATGTGGTGGATTAAACAAATTCGCTTGTCTCACCTGTATTCATGCTCTCAATCCAGATGGCATCCACTGGGCCGTCAAATACGACCCACTTCTTGTCAGGCGTCGTGTCTGCCACCGCACCACGGATCAGCGCGCTCGCCTGCACGGGCGGAGGTCAGCGCCGCGCAAACAGTCAAGCAGGCCCATGACAGCCGCACACATTGCAGTCCTCTTTTTGCCACAGCATGTTAGGGGCCCGCGCATATTCTGGGCTGGCCTTAAGGTGCGACCCACCAGGCCGTCCGTCCACTCGTTGGTCAGCAGATTGTACTCCCCGTACAGCTCCCCCATCTTGATGCACTTGGGGTTGAGCACGTGTGCTCGGATGGTCTGGGCATGCAAGGTTGGTGTAGGGCAAGGGTGATGAGGCTGGTAGCGAGGTCGTCAGACAGGCAGGCAGGCAGGATGGGCAGACTTCCAGGGATTGAGAAAAAGTTGGCCTCCACAGATGCAATGACAACACACATGAGGAAGGCGAGTGGTGGGAAGTCCGTAAGGAGACGTGGCTAAGGCGCACCTGGTACTTGTCATTGGGATGACCCGCTTTGCGGAGCCCGGTAAGGGCCGCCTGCAGCGCGCGGTAGCACTCTGTCTTGCCGCCGCCGGTGGGGCCCACCTGCAGTGGTAATTGGATACCTCTTAAAATTGAGTCAGACAACAACGCAAACGCAAACCAGCCCAGTCCCAGGCAGTCCCCTGCTTTATGGACACGAAATTTTATGCTTGCAGTATATCATACAAGCAGCACTCCTGATGACCCCATGGCAGCCGATTGTGTACAGAGGCAGCGCACCAGCATGACTCCGAACCGCACGTCAAAGGTGTCATAAAGCTGCACCACTTTGTTGACAAATGCAGCCGGCTGTTGCAGGCCAGACGCTGCTAGAGCTGCGCGGATGGCCCCCTCCAGGTCCCCATGATCCTGGGAGTAGCAGTTGTTGGGGGGAGTTGCTCTGATGTTGGACAAATTTGGTAGTCATGCTGATTGTCATGTCACCTGGTGGCACGACGCGTTGCTTCACAGTCAGCAGAACAGCTTGCGAGGCTGCGGGGTGCGCACGTCAGGGCTGCCATCAGTGATCGTGCAAGCTGAAAACACGCACACTCGCCCAATCTTTGTCTGAGCAAGATCATGTGTATGTTGATACATGCACTCACGCACCTGGTCGGGCACTTCCAGCCCCGGGAACAGGTCCCCGATGATGTTGCAGAACAGCTTGACATCATGAGCCAGAAACTTTGGCAGGTTGGAGTCTCGCATGGCCCTGGATGTTTTTGGGCCCAACAAGGAGGCGTCAGGCGGTGCGTGTTGTACAGGGCGGTCTGCTTGCACTGAGCAGGTGGTCAGAGTGAATGCACAGGCGACACTGCACTAGGCAGCACAGGCAACCATATACAGGGTCCATTATTGTTGGTCCATCAAGCAGGTGCCTTGAGTGCAGATGGCGCCGTCTCCACCTGATGAGCACCACGTCCTCTGGCAGCTGCGGGTTGGCCCTCTTGAGCGCCCCCGCCATCACGAGCACGCTCTTGACGGCGCGCATGCCAAAGTCATAGTGATCCTAATGGCGACAAGATCGGGTGAATCCAAGGTTCATAGTGGGACGAGCGTTTCATAGGTGTGCAATCTTGGGGCGTCGTCCTAGGACGTATCACTGTCCCCCACTACATGTGGGCACGGACGAGTGGGTTTCCCCTCGGTGGGAAATGTGAGAACGGGAAGCTTTGCTTGCAAACACAATCCTGTGTGCAACTGTTACGGCGCCTGACATGCTTGCAGCCTCCCCCATTGCGGTTGCCCCCATGATCGAACCTCCCCTGCCCCACCTGCTGGCTGAGCTGCTCGCTGGCTAGCTTGTAGAGCTTGACCATCTTGCGGCTCAGGGCGCGGCTGTCCTCGAAACCCTCGCTGAACAGCATCACCTGCAGCCACATCAGCAATAAAACACGTTGGCGGTAGCCACATGCAGCGCTGCTCGTTTGCCGGGCTGGCCCACGATCATGCAAGCGTCAAAGCACAGGGTTGGGCCGTCCGATTTAGGGTGCAGGTCATGACTGCGGGCTGTGGTGGGGCTTTGACTAGCCATGGGCCGCCAACCCCTCACCTCAGCCACCAGGGCGTAATCTGGGATCATCATCGCCATGGGCCGGAACAGCGCCTGCCGTGGGGAAAGCGTGGCCAGGGACGTTCGTGCGGTCGATGTCACCGGCGGCCAGCACTTGGGAGTGCTGAATGCAGCAGCCAGCCCTTCCCTTGACCTGCAGTGCCCAGGCCCTCGCTCGGCCGCCACACCTGGTTGGCCCTTGCGCCCGCCGGCGCGCCCTCCTGAAGCCGCGCAGACCGCGCCATCCCAACGGATCAGTCAGCTGCGCCGCCTGCATCCGAGCTGACTCACCTTGAGGTTGTCCGGCAGCTCGGTGCGCCCCGCATAGCCGGGGTTCATGGTGATGAACACACCGCACGTGGGAACCAGGCGGATGGGGCGGCCCTCAAACCAGAACTTGTCGAGGCCGGCCTTGAGGGCGTTCTGGATGGTCAGCAGCTGCTGCGCCACGACCGACAGCACCTGTCGGTCATGGTGCACACACCGTGGGTGCGCCTGGGTCGCGGGACGACCTGATACGCACTGACTGGGCTCTGGAAGGATTGCAACGAAAGGGGAAAAACAGTGCCTGCCAACAGCAGCCGCCAAAGCCAGAGATAGTGGTGACTGGAGATACCGAGGGTTCTCCACAGAGGGGGTCATGGGCTGCCGCCGCGCCCTGCGTTCGCATAACAATGTCGCTTCCCTTGATTCACGCACCTCAATGTTGATGCGGTTGAATTCATCGAAGCACGCCCAAGCGCCGCACTGCGCCAGGCCAGCGAAAAACTTCCCCTGCGGCCGCCGTCAACAAAGCCACCAGTACGTGTGTTCAGTGCTGAGAGGACAAAAGCCAGACCCCACCAAAGGCCGAGTGAGGCCTCCTGCAAGATCTGCAAATCGGCAGGGGTTGCAAACTCAGGTGCTAGACGCCACTCAAATTCTCTCAAGCCGACCACCGGGGCCCGGCTGTCTTCCCACCATGAACTTGTAGTCCAGGTTCTCGCCGCAGTTGAACACCACACAGTTCACACCCAGTGCCTTTCCAAGGTCCTTCGTGGTCTCGGTCTTGCCGGTGCCTGGGCGCCAGGCGCAGGAGGTGGGGCGAGGGGGCTGCGCCTTGCTGCACCCAAAGCGATGCTGTGCAGCTGACATCAGGCAACGTCGGCAAATGTGAGTTGCATCAAAGTTGACCGGTGCACAAGATGGTCAGCAGCAGCGGAGCTGCCGGACGTGCGGCATGCCACCATGTTTGGTGGATTGTCAGACCCGCGCACCCGCTGGGCCGGCCGGCGCGCCGCCTAGCTTCAGGTGCAGCGCCCCCGTGAGGGTGAGGTAGCAGCGGTCCGTCATGGGCGTCACCACCAGGCGCGGCTGGGCCCCCAGGTACTCGTAGGCGTAGGCAAACGAGGCGTTGACCTGCAGGAATCGACCAGGTTTGACCAATGCTTTCGGCTGCCTGATCAATAGCGTGGAGTGAGACCGCCTTTTTGCACAGCAGCGGGACGATTTGTAACTGAGCATGGGCAAGTTGACCCCTTAGCCTGGGGGTCTCAAGGTGCAGGTTGATGTTTTGGCTGCCGCCTCCTCACCTGCCGCACCACCAGGTCGTCACCCTCCCAGTAGTACCTCAGCTGCATCTGCCACTCAAAATCAGAGGTACTGGACGCGCCCTTGGCCTGCAGCTGACCCACAATGTCTGGGACGCGGAAATGGCGGCACACGGGGCATGTTCATCCTTGCTGATCAGGCGTGACTAGATGGGGTGCTGGGAGGAACATCAACGTCAGACATGCGGGGTGGAGAGGCAGTTGGCCGTTGCCATGCGCGGCAGAACCTGGTTCTCAACCATCTGCCGGGCAGTCAGTCAAGAGAAGCTTAGTGATTCTGCTCACCACGTGCGTGGACGTCTATTGTGATGAGAGCAGCCAGGCTCCTGCGTGCCAGGCTAGACAGGTCCCCCCTAACCAGCCGCGTCAGCTCGCCCAGCTGCTGCACATTGACCTGCATGCGCATGCATTCGGGGATGTTTGGGTGTTGAGGGGTCTGGTTGTCTAGGTGTTGAGTACGGCGTGCGAAAAGCAATGGAGTGCTTGCGCTATGCTTAAGGATGGGCAGGAGAGCAGGCTCTGAGGCTGCAGATTGGCGAGGTTATGTGTCGAATGGCTCGCCTGGCTAAGTGTGCTGACCACTCATTTCAGGCCCTCACCTGGTAGAACTCTGCCAGGCCCTGGGCGGCGGCGTCCCCGTCCAGCTGCTCCTCCACAGCAGCGCACCAATATGCCTGCACGCTCGTGGCAGGTGGGGTGTAGGGTGCGCAGCTCACGCAGGGTACAGCTTGATGTCAGTGCATTTGGCCCTCCGCTGCTCTTGAACGACAACGACTGTGCAGATGCGGGTGTCAAAGCGGGTGAGCACGAGAGAGGTGATAGTATCTGCAGAGCAAGCCTGGCGATTGCCGTGGTCACACTGCCCACCTGGCTAATTGCAATGACCAGCTGCGACGGGCACTGCGGCGCCTGCACCCATTCCGCGCGCGCGGCCTCCGGATACGACGCCACCGCCGCCTTTGCCAGGCGCCGCAGGGAGGCGACCATGGCGGACTCCACCTGGCCCAGCCAATTCTCCACGTTGCCGCGCGCCTTGACGGCGCTCTTGCCCAGGCTGACGCGCTCGCCCTCGCCTGCGCGCGGGCGAGGGAAGGCGGGAGACGTGCAAGCAGTGTTTGGTTAGTGGCTCTTCTAAGCTCTATGGGCTTGCTGCATGTCGATTGATCAGTAAGCTTGCTCGCCGGCCGCACACACCATGCATCCATCTGCCAAGTGATTGACAACCTGACGTACTGACCAACCCCTCACAGGACACCCTTTCAATCTGATTCTCAAACAACGTATGTGCGCCCACGCACCACTGAGAATAGCAAATATGTCGGTGCTCTTGGGGTCCTCTCCAAACTCGAGCCGCCGGATGCCGTCGAAGCACTTGCCAATGTGCGGCTGGACGGCCTGCAGAAGGAAGGGCGCCATGCCTGAGCGAGCCCATGCACACGTGCTGGCTGCTCACATACACATGCCTCGCCAATTTGCAGGTATGCGGACGTTTGGCGACACTCAAGGCGAGGCAGCGGATGCATGCATAGTGGTGCGCTGCTGCTGGAGACGGGCGCATGGCCGTTGCAGGGACGCTTGGGCGCGCAGCCACGCCCACCTGCACGTTCTTGGCCTGGGCCAAGATCTCCAGGAGCTCGTCGTTTGACAGGAAGTAAAACCTGGAGGCCGGTGGCAGCGACAATGACGGCACGTTGCATTTTATGTTGTAAGGCTGCCCTCAAAGCAAGCAAACACAGCCAGCACACTGGATAGCACAAGGGATCAGGCAGGGCTCATCCGACCCGGCCAGTACATTGAGGGTTTGCAACTTGGGGCTTGTGATTGCCACTGATCCCTGTTATCCACCTCGCTTGAAGGGCCGTCAAAGCTCACCTGGGGAACGCGACTCTCTTTGTCTCCAGGTATTCCTCGAGGCTCTTGCTGATGGCCTCCAGCGTCTCAAAGCTCTTCTGAAGGGACTCCAGGAGGCCTGAGGGACACCAACAGAAGGGGATGCACACTCGCAAGACGAATGGAGGTGACGCAACCCCCTGGCACAAATTTCTTGTATGCGGCATCACTGACCCAGCATCACTGACCCAGCATCACTGATCCAACAGATTTGTGCATGCCGCTTGTCCAATGCTGTGTGACCAACGCTGTGTGAATCGGGGGCAGGACAGAGCAGCTGCGCTGACACGCACGCTTGTTGCCCTGCCGGGCGTTGCGGGCGGCTCACTGGGGTTGCCAGCGGTCTGCAACGCGTTGGGGCGGTCCTTGGTGCGGCGCATGACGTCCTTGAGCTGCCGGTGGACGAGGTCAAACGCCTTTGACTCGGCAGGCAGCTGCTTCTGTATATCGGGGGCGCTGAAGATGGGCTCCAGGTACATCCAGCTCTTCTGGACCTGTTTGCATGTCGTCAGATGGCAGGAGTTGACGGGTTATTCTTCTATGCGAGGTTGAGACTATTGGGCATGTCAGCAGGGCCCAAACGGGTCTAGCTCGAGGCTTGCTTTGCGTGCCAAGGCGCAGGCTTGTGCTGCCCACGCACCTGCACCCACTGGTCGAGGGTGTCTGAGAAGGTGGAGAGCTGCCGTTCCACGCGTTCCACCTCAGACCGTATGCCCCCAACGTAGCGGCTGGCCAGGATGGTGGACATCGCCACCAGACTGTCCTCCAACGCGGCCTATTTGGGTTTCGGGGTTCCCCACAACTCAGTTGATTAGCAGAGGGGGCCGCACAGATCATGGGAGCGCAGAGGACCCTTCCTTCGACAGCCACACCTGGGTGACAAGGCCTAAGCAAACCGTGAGCACACAGAATCAAAGCTTGCAGGCAGTTGCACCCACACAAGATCCCGCCACACAAGATTGCACGTGCGCGCACATGTGCGTGCGCGTATGATGGCCCATCCCTTGGAGCCATCCACAGACATACACACACACACATGCGCACACATACACACACGCAAGCACACACACCACTCTGCAAGAAAACAACCACGTACCTGTATGTCGTCTATGGCCCCCAGTATGAAGACGTCCTTGGACTCTTTGTAGGGCACCACCACAAACTCGATGCCGCCCCAGCGCGCCACGACCTTGGCCAGCATCTCCTCAAGCGCCGACTCCTGCAGGTCACAAGCCGCATTGATGGGTTTACAAGTAGATTTTGCACGAGTTTGGAAGACCAGGGCTGACAGTTTACACTCAACAGGCGCGAGTCTGAATCAGACTCAAGCGATTGGAGCCCATGCGCGTGGACAGTGCAGCTGGGGTGGCTGCGTGGGGACGGCCGCGTCTGCAGTGTGGCCCCACCTGCGACGCCTCTGTGCTGATGGCGACGACGGCCTCCTTTGCCTCCAGCACCCGAGAGTCGATCAGCACCTGGCACGATTGCATCAGTTGGACAGTCTACAGTTGCAGACGCACACTCGATGCGACGCCAAAGGCCGCAGGGTTTGCAAGCAACACTGCATGATTGAACACACTTGCACAGGCCGGCCAGCCTGCAGCAGGGGGCAGGAGTGCCTGGCCTGACCCAACATCCCCTCTCACCTGGAGGGTGAAGGCCTCGTCGCCGGGCGTCATCTCCAGCCGGACCCCGCCTGCAGCCTCGACCGCCGCCACCGCGGCTGCCCAATGGCGCTCTTTCAGTGCCGGGTTGCGCAGTGCAGAGATGACAGGCAGCAGGGACCTGCGAGCACGAAGGGGCGGTTTGAAGCAAGCGCGCGTGATGCGCAACAAGGGCATGCAGGGAGAGCCTGCTTCACGATCGCAAACGATCTCAAGAGGCACTTTGCATATGGCTGGCGTGGGGCCGGGGCAGCGCCCATGTTCGCAAACAGTGAGCGACCGGGGAGGTGCATCAGCCAAGCGGCGCGAGTGGGGCCAGGGGCCCTTCCATTGTCAGTGGGCAGGCGGGGTACAAATGAGCCGCATTCCCACGCGCACCTGAACTCATCCACATCCGCCCTGAGGGCGGGCACCAGCTTGTTGGGCGGCAGGCTGCGCTCCATTTTGGCCACAGACTTGTGGAACCTGCAGGGGGGGCCAGGAATCCGCTCAGCAAAGTGGAGCTTGGCATGCTGGGTGACTGCGAACAACCGATCAAGCTGCTGGCACTGTGCACCACGTCAGCAGTCTGCGTGCAGCATTTGCAGGACCGGTTCGGCAGCATAGTCCCAGCGACACGCGCCCGGCAGCCGACCTGGCCATGGCCTCCTCCATCACCGGGACGTCGAGCTCCTCAAACCTCCGCCCCCGCCACTCTGACGACAGCGACGCAAACTCTGCATTGGTGAGCACGCGCGCGTGCGTCACGGCAAGCGCCCAGTCAACGCGTTGCTGCGAGTTCCTCAAAGGCTCTCTGAAGGAGAACGCGCATCAGCCCCCAAGCTAGGGATTGCTTTGGCAGTGGGGGGCTCCCCCTCTGCGCGCGCCGCAACCCACCCTCCCTGCCGTTCCAGAGCGCCGTCTTGAGCGCCACTTCTTTGGCGGTCGCAGCCAGGTCCTCCACGCCGCCCTGGGGCAGCTTGAACATGGCTTGGTATGAGTTGATGCGTGAGACCTGGCGGACAACATCGCGTTTTGTGTGAGAAGGGGTCAGCCAAACAGGGATGCCCGGGGCGCTGGCGGGGCGGTAGCGTAGGCACACTGGCAGGGCGGCGCGGCTCGCCGCGACTGCGGCCACACGGATGGCTAGCGGGAGCACAAACGATGCAGGTCTGGTGCGAATGAGAGGGCTACTTCTTCAGATGACACGTTCCGCAACATGGGGGGGGATGCGAGCGGCGCACATGAGGTGGCGGCCGCGCACAAATGGGACACGCAGCCACTCACCTCGGCCTTGGCCCGCCCCAGGCCGGTGTCCAGCGCCGCCAGCTCGTCCAGCGCGGCCGCTGGCGGCGTATCCGGTGAGAGCAGCATCTCTGCGTGGCACGCATCGCGCAGCATCGCCACCTCCTGGGCCGCGGCCTCCATCCCTGGACGGGAGGGACACGCCCGCGAGCGTTGCTTTTGACAGTGTCAAGAGGCGCCACTCAACTGTGTCACGGTTTTTGGCCAACCTTTCAAATGAGTCAAGCAACGGCATCCTGGTTTGATTTTGAGCAGCTGATTCCTGGCTGCACATAAGGCGTTGTCAGCTGCCAGGTGCGTGCCTGCATGCTCAAGGCAACAGGGGCCGTCCCCACGCCCCACCTGCATCGAGCTCCGCACTGTACTGCGCCACAGCGGCGTCGCGGCCGCCCTCCACCTCCTCTGCCAGCGCCTTGAGCGACGCCTGGGCGCCCTCAAGGCTCGCATACGCCGCCCTGCAAGGCGGCCGCAAAACGGGCAGCGTGCGTCGTGGCCGATCTGCCAGTCATTTGACGCAAACAGACAAGCGCATCTGCCACGTGCAGGCGTCTGCAGCAAGCTGGCAGTGGGCTGAAATCGCCCCGTTTGCGCTTCTCGGAAGCTGAGGGGTCGCTTCGAAAATTACTGCGACTGGGCATGCGCAAAGCGCACCTGTCCTCGGCTGGCGCCGTGAGAGTGTGCTCGTCCAACAGTGAGTAGATAGCGTGCACTTCTGCACCCGCAGCCTCGAGCGCCTTGTCCTGCAACACAGTGCACGACAACAGCAAGAGATTTCACAGAGTGGAATCGACTCGATCTGGTCGGCGTCTTGCGTTTTGAAGTTTTGCACTGTGCAGGCCCGGCGGGCGGCCGCACCTCTAAGACTTGGCAGCGGGCGTCAGCCGCAGTGGCGGTAACAGCGGCAGTAGTGGTGGCATCGGCTCCCCACATTTTCGCAACTCCCTAAAACGTTGACGCTCACCTGCGCCACCAGGCGTCCCAGGAAGCTCAGCTTGGCCGCATAGTCCTCCACGCCGCCGCAGGCAGCGCTCATGCGGCTGGACGCGCCGTGGACGTGGTCCAGGAACGCATGGAGCAGTTCTGGGGTCGAACCAATTTGGCATGTGTTGGGTGGATATCATTGTTGGCGTGTTATGTGCACGTAAGCAGGAGCTGATGAAGGGCAGAAAATCGTGGGATGTTTTGCGAAGTTTGGGTGTACCACCGTGCTTGACACCTGACAGGAAGTGCAGAAGCCGGCTGGAGACAAACATTGCTGCACAGCCCTAGCCGCCGCTCACCACCCGCCAACCGCGGCAGCATGCGCCGCAGCTCCTCCGCCCGAAGCTCCGGCCACGGCAGCAGCGCGGCCTTGAGGCGCCCGGCGTCGACGCGCACGGAGCCGACGTCGCAGTGGGCGGCGAGCGCCTCCATCTCGTTTTTCTGCTTGGCCAGCATCACCAGGAGGCGCCTGAACGACTCGAGCGTGACCGGAGCGCCGTCCTTTGCAACCCCCGCCGCCGCCTCGCGCCCAGCCGCGGCTTGAGCGGCCGGCGCTGTGAGCGAGGGCTCCGCCGGCAGCGCGGCGGCCGGCGCGGACGCGCTGCTAGCGTCCTGCGGGGCGCCGTCCTCGGCGGCCGCCAGCGTCGCAGAGGCGCTGTGCTGCAGGAAGGCGGCCCTGAGGCCGGCCACGTCCAGGGACCTGGGGGGGCAAATTGCGTGCGCGATTCTCAGCTCCACACCTCCCACCAGCCAGCCCTCTGCGTCCAGCCCCCCCAGCCTCTCCCCTATGCAAATCCATTTTTCCCAGCTGTCCTCAATGTAAAACACAGCTGCCGTGCTGTCAATTTGAAATCGTGCAGATTTAGAGCCTGGGACGCACCTGTCTGCCAGCACCATGTCCCGGAATGGCAGGTAGCCGGACAGGTGCTGCAGCGCACGCTCAAAGGTGGTCTCAAGCGAGTCGGCAACATCCTCCACCTGTGACGTCAGCACGAGTCATTCCACATGCGTGTGGCGGGACGAGGGTCGTCAGAACCGTTCCCTCTTTCAAATTTATTTTAATAAATGTCCATGAAGGCTGACGCGTCCAGGCCTGCTGCCCCGCCCGCAGCCCCTCAACCCTGGCACTCGTCACACAGACCAAACCAGCTTCCCACCAGCTGCTCGTAGTCTTGGCAGGCCACCAGCTCCGCCAGGGGGGTCGGCTCCCCGTCCAGGTCGGCGTCGTTGGCGCCCACCACGCCGCGCACCAGGGACGCCTGCAGGAGCGGCGCGCGGAAATCGCGCTGCTTATGAGAGCTTGCGAGATCGGCATAGACAAAAGAGGGAGCCCAGGTGCGGGATGCTGTGCACCAACAATGTTGGGTGCACAGACAGCACAGAAATGCAAGCCTCATACAGGCAGGGGCAAGTGATAATGCTCCCTTGCTACCTCAGAGTACAGGCGCTCGATGCTTGTGGCGCACTCCTTGAAGCCAGCGAGCACCTCAGCGGCGCGCGCCTGCGGTCGCGCAGCGGCAGGCGTGTAGTGGTGTTGCGCCGCTGCGCCACGTAGCACATGGGGGCGTTTGCCACTGCTCTCGACAAGCGGGCAGCGCGCAGGCCAGTGGCGCTTTCGGAATCTTTGGCGACCCAGCCAGCTCAGCAGGTTTCGCTTCCTGCAAACAGCTGCATGCGACCTGGCCAGGGTCACCATGGCAAGAGGCCCGCCCCCACCTCACCTTGAATGCGACGGGGTCTGGCACAAACGCCAGCCCCTCGCCATCCCCCTCCATGACCACCTCCACCGCAAACAGCGGCGCCCACCCCGGCGTCGCCGCCGCCGCTACCGCCGCCTGCTTCCCACTGGGCCCCTGGTGCAGCGACCGCTGCGCCGCGAGCCCCGCCTTTGGCGTCGCGGCCGCAGAGCCGCCTTGGGCGCGGTCGCCCTGCAGGAGCTGCAGCTGCAGCAGCTGCCCCGGCGCTGGCGGCCGGGTCGCCTGCAGCACCTCCGACACGGAAGCTGTGAGGCAGCTGTGCAGCGTGTCTGACATCATCGTGTCGACCAGCCGGACGAAGGACAGTAGGCGCCGCTGCTCGGCGCGGCGCGATGCCGCCATCGTGTAGGCAAACTCCTGTGAAGCACACGTGGAGTATGGAGATTTGCGGAATGTTGACGCCATGGAAGATAGCGCCATCGATGCTGTTCACATGACTTCACAGTTTATACAAGAGTGCAATACACGAGATACCTGATCAGGCATGCTGAGCCCAGCTTCAAGGATGTCCGCCCACCTGCTGCGACCGGTCCGCCCCACCGCCGCCCCCGCTGCGCCCGCCCCCGCGCCCGCCGGCCAGCGCCGCCAGGGCCGCCGCCGCGCGCCGCCCACTCGACGCGCCCAGGCCGCCCAGCACGAGCCGCACGTCCTTCTCCCCCATGCTGGCCAGGCCGCCGGACGCCCGCCCGCCGGCCGCGCCCTGCGGGGCGCCGAGCCCGATCGCCTGTGCCAATGGGTCCCCAGACGCCGCCGACCCGATCTGCTTGATCGCAAACGACCGCAGCTGCAGCTCGAGGGCCTCCAGCGACGCGGCGCAGGCGCCGCGCGCGATGTCGAGCGCGTCGGCGCGGAAGGCGGAGAGGCGGCGCGCGCAGGCCGCGGCTTGGTCCGTGTGGGCCTCGACGAAATCTGGCAGGGTATAGACCTGCAATCGGCAAAAGTAATTGATCAGGATCAATGCCAAACGCGTTAACCAAAGCCCGTGATGCGTGCGGCCGTTTTGTGGCGCTGCCACCAGCACGGACAGGCAGCGTCCAGGCAGGTGGGGCAGGCACCCAGCGGACGGCGGGGGCGCACCTGCCCAGCCTTGAGGGCGTGCAGCCTCAGCGCTGCCACGTCGCAGCATAGGCCCCACACACGCCGCAGCGGCTCCTGGAACGCAGGGCTAAGGGCGAACAGCCCGGCGCTCCCACCGCCGCCGCCCCCGCCACCGCCGCCATGCGCGCCGCCGAGTGCGGCCCCGCCGGCGAGCGCCGCGCGCGCCTTGGCTGCCTTGGCGCCGCCGACGGCGCGGCGCCAGCCTGAGAGCGCCTTGGACAGCCGGTGCTGGCGGAAGACAGGCAGCTGCCTGAGGCCGATGTACAGCTGCACCTCGCGCTCCCATTGGTCCATGGCTGGTCATGTCGGACATCAGGGGGTTGTGCGAATCGTGTGCGCATGAAACCATAAAAGACAACACAGCTGTCTTGCCTTTTTGGCGGCGGCGCGCCGACCGCGGCTCACGCAAGCGTAAGAGCTGTTGAGCAGGCCAACCGCTCACACGCCCTGAAGCCCGCCTCCTTGCGCGCGCCACGCCACCGCCTGGCCCGCGCTGCCCGCGCTCCCGCTCACTGGTGAATTCGGCGTTGGCCCCGTCCACGTAGCGCGTTAGGCCCCTCACAGAGAGCGTATAGTAGTCCGCAGCAGCCGCGGGGTCGGCCCGCAGCGCCGCGAAGGGTACCACGTCGAGCGCGTACGGGTTCCAGCCGCCGGGGGCGCGTGGGGCCGCGGGGCGGAGGTAAACAAAGTCCTCCGTGGCTGGATAATGCCGCAGTGTGTGGAGGAGCCTGTTGGGTGTCAGGGGTTAGGGTCATTTGAGGGTTGGGGCAACGTACAACCAAAACACACGTGATGTCCCAGGCTGGGGCAATGCAGCAGAGGCCGAGTCGGCAGCTCCATTGAAAACTGGGCTGGCACTGCAATCAGCGGGCCGCTGCACGCTGCCGATGCAGGGGCTTTGCTCACTTCATGTATTCATACTCCGTGTCGCGCTGCTGCCGCGGCTGCTGCGGCCCGCCGTCGCCTGCGGTGCTGCCGTCTTGCGCTACGCGCTTGCCACGCGCCGGCGTTGCAGCTCGTGGCGGCGAGGCCGCCCGCCCCGGCGGCCGCTCTTCTGAGGCCGCTTGAGGCGCGGTCGTTTGCGCCAGGCCCCCTACAGGCTGCGGCGAGGTGCTGCGTGCCGCCTGCATGGGGCTGCCGCGGCCGCCGGCTGCAAATATGGAGGTCCGGGCAGGGCTGGGGATCGGTGATGGCGGCGCCATGGGGCTGCTCGGCAGCACTAACGATGCACGCGCCACTGTGGACCTGGGTGACTGCCCGTATCCTGCGTAATGACGGGAATGAGGCAGTCGTGTTGCTGCAAGATAGATGCATTGATGCATATGGCACCTGCTTTGTACCAGGGGCTCGCAGTGGTGGCTGCACACCTGGTCGCCCATCTGCGGGCCAAAAAGAGCCCCCATGCTCAGTCCCGCACCTGGACCGCCGATCATGTGTGCCCCATCAAACGGTTGTGCTGACACGTCAACCGCCAACGCGCCCGGACGGCCAGCGACAGCACCTGCTGCTGCTGCCGTTACGCCATCACCCACAGTCACGCCCGGCGCGCCGCCACGCAGCCGCTGCGGCGGCGGCCCCAGGGGCGGCGGCCTGGCGCCCCGCAGCGGCGCAAGCTGCGGCCGCGGCGAAAGCGCGTTGGGGCCGGACAGGTGCTCCTGCTTCGCGTGTGGGCGGGGCAGTGTGTAGGTACCCATTGTAATACTTACATTGCAAAGTAGTATGTTGATGGCGCTGCTCATATATCATTAGTAATTTTATCCTCTCCTCGCCCACCTGCTGGCCGCTTGGCCGCGACAGCGCAGCGCCTCCGTCCAGGGGCGGCAAGTGGCGCGCCGGCGACGCCTGCATGTGCGGCAGCGGTTCAGCATTAAGGCGCCACTTGCGTTCAGGTGGACCCTGACTGCATTCAAGAGCGCGCCATCGCGGCAACCCACCAATGGCTTGGCAGGCGTTAAGACGCCTGCCTGTCGTTTCGTACTGGGAGGGGCTGCAAGGCCAGCTGCCGCTGTGGCGCCGGTGCCGGAATTTGCAGGTCCCTTTGGCGCTGGGTATAGCTGCTGCTTCAGGCTGCCCGGTGCCTGGGCAGGTGGAGACGAGCACACAGCACAGAGCAGTGCCACTCCATCAGCAACGTCACGGGGCGGCACCATGTCGCCGAGCTGCCAGCCAGTGCAGATCATACCTGATGATTACCGTCATTTGGCTGCGGCATTTTTCCCGCAGCGAGATGTCTCCTTTGCTCCCTGCTGCGAGTCTAGCTAATGTGGTCAAACCTGAGATCGTCGCGGAAAGACTGCATCATGTCGTTTGTAATCTATCGGCATGATGGTGTGCGATGCACCACAAGTCGCTCCCCCAGATCACTTGAAATGTTTCGATAGAGTCTACAGGAAAGGTCGTATGGTGCGCCTCCCTTCATGTATCCGGTATAAGCACAAATTACGAAAGCACACAAGTGGCCCCCTTCCTGCTCGTTGCGCCGCCCGCACTCTTGGCGACCAGGCACCTGGGGCCTGTACTGCGACTGCAGGTGGTCGTGCTGGAAGTGCATGCGGTGGCACGACCAGCTTGAGCTACGGTTGAGCCCGGCCGCTGATATGCTCAGGTGCATTTCATATCAGGCAGACATATATGCTGCTCAGTGTTTTGCTGGACAAGACAGGGGGCCCTGCTGGACTTCAGATAAGAGGGGCATTGCCGCTGGTCAGAGGCATGCACTCTTTAGCCGCCGCTGCCGCATGCGCGGCTGCACAAGTGCATTCCCCCATTGTGCGCTTCACCGTCTGCGTGCATGCACCTGGATCCGAGCCATGTTCGTGATTTACAGCCCCTTGACAAGCCATACAATTCTCCATAAGTCAGAAATCTCCACAAGTCAGCCGCACGTGCCAGCAATGACCGCGCTCGCCAGCGTGTCATACCAGTCTGGCCGCATGTGCACGCCGTCCACGTTCAGGTCAAGGCGCGAGGCCGTAGGCGTGTACGAATCAAAGGCCCCATAGAAACCCGCGTGGCCGCGCGTCGACGCGTTTGGCGCCGCCGCCGTCCGCTCGACAAACGGCTTGATCGCCTCCTTCACGGCTGCGTTCATCCACTGCATGCACGCCTGGGATGTCACGTCCCGGTACTCGGCGGGCTGCCGCGCGCTCTGCGGGGACGGCGCCTCCCAGAAATAGACGTTGGTGCTGGGCGCAAGCGTGGTGTTCAAGAGGTCCACAAACCACGCCATGTCGCGGCGGAAGTCGGACGGCGAGCGGCGCGCGCAATCGTGCATGCTTTGCATGATATGGATATGGTCGGGTGGAGGCTGTCGCGCCTTCAAGTAGAGGTCGAACAGGAAGAGCTGGGTGTTCCAATAATACTTGCATGGAGGTGAGCGGTCTTTGGCACAGTTGTGGTCCCAATGGATGCGCATAGGTGTGGTGAGCTCGGAATCAATCAGAAACTCCATTCGCAAGAACTCCAACTCCACGCGCCTGCGCGGCCCCTGGCACACGGCCCGCCAGCTGTCGCAGGCGCCGCAGTCCTGCTTGCCGAAAACCGTTTCAGATACATTGTAATACCCGCCCTTTTGGTGCACCTCCCATCCCGTGAAGTTGCATGTGACGTTCGGCAGCTTGCTCAGCCAGTAAAACATGGCAAGGGACCATTTGAGCGCCTGCGAGTCGCCCATAAAGATGATCTGCCTGGCTGGAGCAGGGTCAGCGTCAAAGAGGCATGCACCCGACCCGTCAACGCAGCCTGGCGCCAGCTTGAACACCTGCCCGACCGCGCTGGTCTTGGCCTGGTCAGCCCAAGTGATCATCTGCGGGTAGGTGCCATTGCACAGCAGCTGCTGGCTGGCGTGCGCAAACGTGCAGGTGCGCTGGGGCTGGCGACACAGGGCCTCGCGCTGGGGCGGCGGCTGGCCTAAACCTCCTTGAGGGGAGGGGCTGCTGCTGTTGCTGCTGCTGCTGCTGCTGCTGCTGCTGCTGCTGCTGCTGCTGCTGCTGCTGCTGGTGTTGGTGGCGTTGCTACCCGCGCCAGTGCTGCAGACGCAGTTGCAGGTGCTGCTGTTGGGTGGCGTGACAACGCTTGTGTCGTTGTCACTGGGCCCAGTTGTAGGTGCCCCACGGCTGGGGCTGATGGCGAACCGTGGCAGCACATGCTCGCGCGTCGCTGTTGCCATCCGCCCATCATCCACGAACAACACAACGGAGGCGCCCACGAGGATACCGAGCAGCAACGCGGGCGCATGGCTCGCATGCCGCTTGGTGGCCGAGCAGCAAGCCATCATGCTGGCATGCGGCAAGCGCACGCGCCTGCAGGAAGGATGCGGACGAGTGCAGGGGAACGGGGCCGCATCGGCTTGAGCGCGACTGCTGGTCGGGGAGGCCACAGACGTGGGCGCAGATCACGGAGGCTGCTGCAGCTGCTGCTGTGGCTGCAGCCGGCTGCTGCTGCAGCCCGCTGCTGCTGCTATGTAACAGTGAACTGTCCCTGCGCCGCTCGCATCTGAAGCGCTGCAAGCCTACTTGACGGCCTAGCACGATGCCAATGGAGCGCTCAGCCTCTGCCGGGGTGGCCTGTCCTGCGAGGCATGTCGAAGGGGTGCGGCCAGTGCTTTAGCCCGACCTAAGGGCGGAGCGTCACGCTTGCTGCGTGGATTGTTGCCCAGTCGCAGGTACGATCTACGCACATGCCCACCCCACCGATCCTGCCAGCGCCTGAGTGGCTCCCCGCGACACACAGGCACAGGCCATAGGCCTGCGGCGGCGCGCAATGTGTGAACACTTCCCGCTGGCCCTGCGAGGCACGGGAGGGGCGTGCTCACCTAAAACTTTTGAAAAGAATAGTTCAAGTCCTCCATGGGGCCCAGGCCCAGCGCGATGGCGCAGACTTTGAATTCGGAGATCACGCACCGCGTACACGCAGTGTCACTGTCCGACGTTCTAAAGCATAGAGTATTGACGGCGCGTCAAGGTAAAATGACAAACTTTGGTGACTTTGGCCCAGCTGACCCTGCTCTGGACTTTCGTGGTTGGTCCTTGCAGCGTTTAGTCATCAGCCCAGCTAGGGGTTGCTAGCTGATCAAGGCTGGGTCGCACACCGGTTCCTGATCAAATCTTGGTTCCAGCGAGCCCGTTGTTGAACATGTGTCTGCCGAAGTATCATGGGAAGACGCGCTTGCTTGATGCAACAGCACCACATGCCTGGACCCATCAGGTCATTTCACTGTGGCACAGTCAGCAAGTGCTTCCCCCCTTGCGATTTGGACGCACAACGCAGCGCGGCCGTCGCATATCTTTTGCGAGTTGTTACCGCCGCCGCCTGCGCGCCTCCACGAAGCGCCCCACGCCGTAGCAGTCTGCCACCACACCCGCACCCTCGAAGTCCCCAGAGCTCTCCAACAGCGACTTGACCCGAGCGGCCTGATCGTCCCCGGCGGTCTGCGTGGCGCAGCCAGCAGGGGATTGAGAACGCAGCCCGTGAGCACACAGTCCTTGAGCACGTATCAAGCAACATGCGTCAGAGGCAACAAAGGGCGCCCGGCGCAAGCAACCCCCAGCGGACGGGGTCGCACTCGCAGATGCACCGGGGCTGTGCCTCATGCGGTGGAGACGGCGCACCTCAAGTGCGATGTAGCCGCCATCCATCAGCATCTCACCAGCGCCGGCGCAGATCACCTGGGGTGGTAAGGCATTGAGGCCGGCTTTCCTCATGCAGGCGGCGCCGCAGCGGGTCCCTCGGCTGCATGCAGCAGCCCAAGCGGCGCCCCAGACCTTCGCCCCACAACCGCAGCGCGGCAACCGCGGCCTGCGGGCGCGAGATGTCAACAGGCCTGCGTGCTGCCTGCGCACCTGTATGCTGTCCAGGCCCGGCCCGGGCCCGCCGTCCAGCGCACTGTGCGGCTCATGCAGCCCAACCTCGCGCTGCAGCCCCTCCATTTGGGCGCGGGGGATGTAGGGCGGGTTGGTCAGCACGCCCCCCAGCTGGCCCCGCAGGTGGCCCAGCGGCTCCCACCACGACCCCACTACAACCCGCACCGCGCCGGGCGGTGTGCACGCAGCCGCGTTGGCTGCCGCGTACGCGGCCGCGGAGGGGCTGAAGTCGACCGCCCACACTGCCGGGGAACTGCCCGCCGCCGCCCCTTCTGTCTCCTGCTGGTGCTGGTGCTGGTGCTGCTGCTGTTGCTGCAGCTGCTGCTGCTTCGACAGCAGCGTGCCTAATCCTATCGCTAAGGCCCCGCTGCCGGTCCCCAGGTCAGCCCAGGGCGCGGCCGCCAGGGACGGGTTCGCCGCGATGGCGGCGGCCGCCATTTCGACCATCTGCTCTGTTTCGGGCCGAGGCACGAGCACGCCGGGGCCGACTGCCAGGACAAAATCGCGCCAGTGGGCGGCGTTTATGAGGTACTGGAATGGGACACGGTCCTGGGAGCGCAAGAGCGGTTGGTCGGTGTAGATGAGGGTGTGTGGCTACGCACTGCAGTTCGCATGCGTGCGGAAGCGCATGCGCATGCGTGAGGCATGAGTGCGTGATTGCGACCATGCACGCGCACGCATGCTCTGCGGGAATGATTGCTCCGCGCAGCAGAGCCCAAGCAGCCGGCGGCTCCGGCCTGGTGATTCGCCCACCTCCAAGCGCCGCCTCCACAGCTCCCGCAGCTCAGCAACAGGAGCACGCAGCTGCACCTGCCAACCCTCTCGGTCGCTGCTGCCGCTGCCGCCGCCGCCGCCGCCGCCGTGCCGCCGGCGCGCATCTGCGGCCCTCAGTTCCTGGCCAAGATGCTGCCAGCTGCATGGGAGCCATGCGGCGCTGGGGCTCTCCCTGTAAGCAGCCACAGCATCATCCAGCACCCAGGTCACCTCTCGCTGTGGCGGTGTGGGCCGTTCAGGATCAGGGCAATGATTAATGTGTTGAATGCGCACCGTCGGCCTATGTACATTGAATCAACGGCATGCTGGTTGAGCCACGGCCAGGGACCACCGTGTCCTTTGTCGCACGCGGTGCGCGCAGATGCGCACCTCCAGCAGCTCACGACCGGGGCCGCCGTCCGCAGCTTCGAAGGAATCACCCAAGCTTTCAATGCGGTGCAAAACGTCAGATCGCCATTCTAGTACTGCTGCAAGACATTCGACGCTGCTGGGCTCCCTCCTGCACAGCGGAATGGGGACCTGTGCTACCGATCTGACGTCCGGCAGTGGCTGCTTTTCGCTGGGCCCAAGGCAATGGGCATGCAGCCTCCATGCAGCGTGCGTATGGCGGTTGCTGCAATGCGGCCTACCCTCGTGGCGTAGCAGGCGGAGGCGCCCCACACGCAGCAGCATGGTTGCGGTGGAGGAATTGGAAAGCATGGGCGTATGTGCTAGTGCAACATTAGAGCTGCACCAGTTGCGCCATGATACAACCCACCTGTCACCGTAGTGGCAGCACCCAGTGACGTGAACAACTGAGTGTTGGTCAACTGGTCAACACAATGGCGGCAGCAGCAGCAGCAGCAGCAGCAGCAGCAGCAGCAGCAGCAGCAGCAGCAGCAGCAGCAGCAGCAAGCAAGCAAGCAAGCAAGCAAGCAAGCAAGCAAGCAAGCAAGCAAGCAAGCAAGCAAGCAAGCAAGCAAGCAAGCAAGCAAGCAAGCAAGCAAGCAACACCTTAGATGTTAATGCACATGCGGCCCCAATTGTTGCCACCAAGCCGCAAGAGCTGCAACGCTGGGATTGTTCATACTGTCCTCTGAGAGCTGCTTGAGCAAATGGCAACGCTGTCGGAACATTGGACCACATCAAGCTTGCCTGTGAGCGCCTTTCACTCTTTACACATGCACAAGTTGTATCAGGCCTCCCACTGCTTGCAGCCCGAATGGCAACAGCATCACCCTAACTTGTTGGTTGAAGGCGCACCATGGGCTTTTGGCCATTACATGACATGACTTTGTGAACGACCACTACCTCAACAGAGAGTCCCATAACCAGAGTCCAACACAAAATGCGGGGTAATCCCGCCGCAACACCAAAAAAATGCAATAGAAAGGGGGCCATTCGCTCAAAGTTTTGCCGCCCTGACAGTGGAGGGCAGCGGAGTGGCGGTGGACAGGTGCAGCGCCTCTTACTGGATGATACAAGTGTTGCAAGACCTGCCTATCTGACTGTCGGCAAGAGACTGCGTAACCGCCCAGACGGCGCGGGATGGCGAAGTGTATCCTGCCCGCGCCAACAGCCCCGCCGGGTTCCAGCAAGCGGCGCGACCGCAGCCCTCGCTCGGAGCCTACTCGTGTCGCGATTGGAAGCAAACGCCCGCGCATGCCCTCGACGCCGCTTGGCCTCTCTCGTCTGGCCTACCCAGTGTGCAGGACGCGCCTCGGGGTCTTGCCCAAGCGCGCAGGAATTGCGGCACCCAGATTGGAGCGGCGAGACGCTGCGCGGGTACGCTGGGGCCTTTTTGTTCCGACAAAGCCGTGACAATGCAACGAATGGCGAGGTCTGGCCACGAATGATTGCACCGCCCCAGTGGCACCGCTGGCGGCTCTCGGCTCATAGCGCCGCCCCGGCTGCGACGCTGTGAGACTGCACCGTGCCGGCAACGGCGGCGGCCGCTTGCGAATGAAAGCCGTTTGGGGGCGCAGGCGTGGCGACCGACGGCGGCTTGGGGCCGGGTGGGGGAGCGGCTGGCGCGTAAACATACACGAGCGGCTGCTGCTGCTGAGGCAGCGGCTGCTGTGCCTGAGGTGCTGGCGGCTGCTGCTGCAGCAGCTGCTGCTGCTGCTGCTGGGTCAAGTGCTGCAGATGCGCCTGCTGCATCTGCATTGCCCAAGCGCCCATCGCAAACGCCGGGTTCGTCACAGGCAACACGACACCCGGGGTCGGCATCATACCTGGAGCGACGTAGAGCTGCTGCTGTGGCGCGGCCTGGCCGGCAGCGGCCACGGGGATCGCTGCGGCCAGTGCGGCGCCGCCTAAGGGAATGCGCACCTCCGGAAGCGGCTGCGGCGCCTGCGCATACCCAGCAGAGATTCCGACGGGCTGCTGCGAGAGCTGGTGCGGCTGATGGGCCTGCTGCGCCTGCTGCGGCGCCAAATGCCCCAGAAGCTGCTGTTGGTGGCCCTGGCCCGCCAACTGCACCATCCCGCTCGGCAGCATCGTCATCGGCGGCCGCCCGCCTGCACAGAACAGGCCTGGTTGCAGGCGCTGGCC